CAAAAATCCTGGAATTCCCTTCCTAATGGCATTGTGGGTAAACCCAAAGCAGATAAGACTGCAGCAGTTCAGGAAGGCAGCTCACCACCACCTTCTCAAAGGCAACTAGGGACAGGCAATAAATACTGACCAGCCACATCCCACAAATTAATTTAAAAAAATGCACCAGTTGCCTTTGTCTTCTAGGTGTTACAGACCTTAATCTTGGAAGATACCGCTCAAGGAGCCTTAGTGAATTGCTGTAATACAGCTTCTAGATGCTACATGCATTGCTGCTGCTGTGTATCAATGGAAGAGCAAGGGAAAGTGCTGGATGAAAATTCTAAACACAGCACACCCAACAGTTTCTCTTTATCTATAGCTGATTACTTCTTCAAAAGAACTCCCAAATATTTGTTTGACGATTGCTCTTTCAAAAAAAAAAAAATCCATGAAGACTCTGCCGATATCCTGACCTTTTATAAGTGCCCAATAAGTGATATTGGGCAGGTAACAGCCATCAGAACTCTTACTGGGGAGGTGATGGCCTAGTGGCATTATCACCGGACTGTTAATCCAGAGGCCCGGAATCAAATTTTCCCATGGGCAGATGGTGAAATTTGAATTAACAAAATGATGACCATGAATCCCTTATCAATTGTTGGAAAAACCCATCTGGTTCATTAATGTCCTTTAAGAAAGGAGACTACCATCCTTACCTGGACTGGCCTATGTGAGACTCTAAACGCACTGCAATGTGGGTGACTCTTACCTGCCCTCTGGGCAATAACATGCTACCTAGCCAGTGATGCCACCATCCTGTGAATGAATAAACTCTTTGTTGCAGAAAACAGTATAATTCTTTCTGTTTACGCTACATTCCCCATCCTGTTGTGGCACATGTATGGGAAGCCACTGCCAGTTTGCACACCCATTCAGCGTCGAGATGAGGAGAAATTTCTTCAGAGTTGTGAGCCTGGGGAATTCTCTGTCGCAGAAAGCAGTTGAGACTGAAACATTAAAAGTTTTCACGAGGGAGTTAGAAACAGTTCTCAGAGATAATGAAATCAAAGAATGAGGAGAAAATGGAGTATAGTGCTGAATTGGATGATCAATCATGGCCACACTGAATGAAGGCAATGTTTGAAGGGCCTACTCCTGCTATTACTTTCTATTTCTGCAATACGACTATTGCACCTCAAGACCCAGCTAGAAAGACTTTGTGGGCAATTTCAAGGTAATTCTTAAAAAGACAGCAGGGTGGGGTACCCACAGTATGATAGTAGTGAATAATGCTCTATGAAAGACCGCTGGTGCTTTAAGATACTAATATATTCTGTCATACTGAATGTTCTTCTTCAATTCAGGCATACTTCTAGATAAAAACTGCCAAAGCTTATCATCTTTAACTCACATGACAATCTGTCAAGATTACCAAAATAATATTTATTCTGAGTGTGATGAATGATTAACAGTGGACCAATTCACCAATGGCACTATTCCCAATAATCAAAGTTCACTTCCAATTAATCAGTACTCTCCTCTCATACAGCAAGTGATGATCTGGGGGTTGTTGTAGTGAAGTAGTAGTGTCCCCATGTCCAGGCCAGGAGATGGGTTCAAGTCCCACCTTCTCCAGATGTCTGTAATAACCCCTCTGAACAAGCTGATTTTCTTTTACTTTTGGTTAACCTTAAAAATTGCCCTGGGTGCAAAATGAAAGCTTCATTAAAATGTGTTTTTTTTTACAGCAATATAAGGTCTGCATTGCAGACATTTAGACATGTCTTCAATCTGCATCCAATGACATATACTTGATGCAAGTTTTCTTGCATAATGACAATGTTGAACACCCTGGCTTTCCAAATGTAACGAGAGTACCAAGTTCTACTTCACTTCAAAACACTATACTCTGATACATAAAGGAAAAGCATAGTTGCAAGCACCCAGATAAAAATGACATTTAGACTAATTATGCGATCGGGGCCAACAAGCAATCAGGTTAATAGGGCAATGAGAAGTTCGGCAGTGAATCACTTAAATTAAGTGCCAAATGTTATCCCTGGTCCCTGTCCAATTTAGAAACCCCTCAAGTAAGTAAGTAAGGGCAAAGTGATGTGAGCTGGCACCCCAAACACTAATCAATATGCACTAGAAGTGCCAGTGTATGGGTGCCAGGAAACATTCAGTAAGTTCAAGTACAACGCACCCATATTTAAACAATATACAGACAACTACCTTCAGAACACATGGATGAAAAATGGCTATCAGAAAGGACTGCAGCATAAGGCATTAACCACAAAACCATGCTTTGGCAAACAGCAAAAACCTTCCAGAGGAGATAAAGACGTGATTGCAAGTTTAGATGCGCAAGTACATTCTGCAAACCTAATCCTAAAATTTAATTTAAGAATACTGAATGGCCTGGATAGAGTGGACACTGGGAAGATGCTTTCATTGGTAGGAGAGACTAGGACCCAAGGGCACAGCCTTGGAGTAAACGGAAGACCTTTTAGAATGGAGATAAGGAGAAACTTCTTCAGCCAGACAGTGGTGAATCTATGGAATTCACTGCCACAGAAGGCTATGGAGGCCAAGTCATTGAGTACATTTAAGACGGAGATAGATAGGTTCTTGATTATCAAGGGGATCAAGGGTTATGGGGGGAAAGCAGGAGATTGGGGTTGAGGAATTTATCAGCCATGATTGAATGGCAGAGCAGACGATAGGCCGAATGGCCGTATTTCTGCTCCTATTTCTTATGGTCTTAATCTCTGGAGAAGAAAATCCTAAACATGACATTTTTGTATCTACATGACTATCTTGCTGTCAAAAAATATACTGTCAGGAAATGTTGCCTCTACATTAAGAGTGATAGAATATATACAATGTGGAAAGTGGCCATTCAGTCCATCAAGTCTGCATCGACCCTCTGAACAGCACTCCACCCTGTGCTCATAATCCCACATTTACCACACCTGATCCACCTAGCCTGCATATCTGTGGAGCCTGACAGCAACCCATGCAGACATGGGAGAACATGCGAACTCAACATTCAGTCATCCAAGGCTGAAATCAAACTCAGGTCTCTGATTCTGAGGTAACAGGGTTAAAACACTGAGCCCCATGACACTGAATTACATTTACCAATAGATACTAATCCCATTAAACCCTGTGCACAGCTGAATAATGTCGATGGTAGCAAACTCTCCATTTTCCATCCCATTTGTGCACTCACACCACGATCATCTATTTATCTGACCATATGCTCAGCTGTTAGTGAAGTTAGATCACACGGGATTCAGGGTGGGACTGCCAATGAGATACAAAATTGGTTTAACAGGAGACAGAGGGTCATTTCTCGGATCGGAGACCTGCGACCAGCCCTATTCCGTAGGGATCGATGCTGGGTCCACTTCTGTTTGTCATTTAATGATTAAATGAGAGTATAGAAAGCATGGTTACTACATTAGCAGATGACACCAAGATTGGTAGTGTAGTGGTCACTTGTTATCTAAGATTACAAAGAGCTCTTAGTCACTTAGGACAATGGGATGAAGAATGACAATTGGAGTTTATTCTGGATAAATGCAAGATATTGCATTTTGCTAAAACAAACAAGGTCAGTGCTTATACAATTCAAATTAGGGCTGAGAGTAGCATTGCAGAACAGAGACACCTAGGGGTTCAGGTACATAATTCTTTGAAGTTCTGCATCACATAAATAGGGTGATTAAGAAGGCATATAGCATGGTTGCTTTCATCACTCAGACCTTTCACGTATAGGCATTGGGACATCATGTTGAGGTTGTACAGGATGTTGGTGAGGCCTCTTCTGGAGTACTGTGCTAGTTCTGGTCTTCCCGTTATAGAAAGGATATTATTAAGCTGGAGACGGTTCAGAAGAGATTTACTAGTGCATTACCAGGAACAGAGGGTTTAAGTTATATGGAGAGACTGAATAGGCTATGACTTTTTTCCATTTTACCATAGGATGTTAAGGGGGGGACCATACAGAAGTTTATAAAATCATGAGGGCATAAAGAAAGTGAATTGCAGTTGTCTTTTCCCTAGGCCAGGGGATTTCAAGACTAGGGAGCACATTTTTAAGATGAGAGGAGAAAGATTAAAAATAAAAGACATGAATGGCTATTTCTTCCCCCCACCCCACCCCACCCCACCCCATCCTCCAGATTGGTTCATGTATGGAATGACCTTTTAGAAGAAGTGGATGGATGCAGGTACAGTTACAGCGTTTAAAAGCCATCTAGGTCAGTACATGAATATGAAATGTTTGAAGGGATACGGACCAAGCGCACACAGTGAGGAGTTTAGTTTGGGATTATGATCGGCGTGGACTGGTTGGATCAAAGGGTGCTTCCATGCTGTATGACTATGACTATTGCAAAATTGGTGTGTGATTTTACAAACTCTATACTTACTGATAAAATAAGCCAAATTTTAATTAAAATCTCTTATGCTTAAAAAGTTGGCAAATATCAGAAGACTTTTCAGAAGTGCCAAAGTATATTGAAACTTGATTGGCCGCTTCAAAACCTTCAAAAATTCTTAGACCAGTAGACCAACATACCCAGTTGAACTGATCCATGTTACGGTTTCTGTGCTGGATTAATTATTCTTTCATGATACCGATCTCACTGTACCCCACCAGCCAGGTATTTTTCCTTCATCCACTGACTCGGTTTATTTACACATGAATACCTTGCGTGTGCATCATTGTGATAAACGATATCCAAAGGAATACTAATCTGACCGGTTCTCATACACAATAATAGCAGTACTCTCAACTAAGTAATCTGGGTGGTAACATCCAACACAGTATATCGAAAAAAACAAGTCGGCCTCATACTTTTCCTACGCATTTCCCTCTCTTCCTGGAATTTAACCGGATTTGTACTGACGGCACTGCTCCACTCTACTTCAAATCTCAGGTTTCATTTCATAACAACCAAATGATGCCAGCCGAATCTGCATCGATACTCCCCTTCTATGCTTCTCACCTGTGCTGTCTGTTACACCCCCAACCGACGCCGCCATGCTCTCGTTCGGGGTGCAGCTCAATCCAGGCCGCTTCCTCTTTCGGGGCAGGTTTTAACCGGGTCTCGCTTGTGTCACTGTCCCGATCAATCGATGGCTGAGTGCCGAGGCCTGAATATTTTACCGCAGTCTATTGCGGCAACCTCACGTCAATTTGCCTTCGTCACCACAGTTTGTGTGAAATTTCACAATAAAAAAGAAATATTTACTGCTGCTAATGGACGTCGCCCGTTTGTCCGCCGCCAACTCTGTTTCTCTTCTCTCTGGTGCGCAGATGGCGCCCGGAATGAGAATTCTAATCGGGACTATTTTCGCATCAAAGAGTCTCTCTACTCATAAAAACCCGATCACAATTCCAGAAGCGACATAATTCGCACGTTTTATCGGAAAAGCTTTGTAACTTTATTGAGTTGTCATTAAGCATATTCTTTAGATATTTCAAATTCGGATAGCTTTCCAAATTCATAGGATTTTCGCGGAAGGACCAGACATTAAAACGTGTACCGCACTCATCAATGCTTCACAATGGAGTATCACTGCGCGTCAGCATTGCGGCGGCTGTGGGGATGGAAGCGCATGCGCTTGAAAAAACCATTCTATGGAAAAGTCGAGAACGTTCACGTGAGTTCCTGGAACGATGATCGTGACTACCTTAAGAATTAGTGATAAGTTAACTAAGAGCCACGTGGCCTTAAAGGACGTGTTGAAACATAAAAGATCATTTGAAAGTGTTTTATTTTAAAATTAAGCAGTTACAGTATGTAGCTCGTCGCTCTTGTTCAGCGTACGAGTATAAATGTAGGGTCAAGGCCTGAAGCGATGCGAAGGATGTTATAAAAAATATTGTTATTTGAGTGGAAGTGACAAATTATTTCGCCCACTAATGCTATCTTTATTTTGCCTAATAATGTCAAAAACAGGGTCTTAACATAAGTGATTTAGGTATGAAATTTCTTGTGATCTAATAATTGAGCATAAACTGAATTTTCTTAAATCTTCATGTTGATATTATTACTTTAATTTACATGTGACAAGCCAATAAATGTGTGGCTAGAAAAAAGTAAATATATTTAAGGTTTTTTTTAATGTACAGAGTCAATGCTAGTGTAGATGAATCGAGGCAGAAGACTTATTTGCATGTTCCAAGTTAGAAGTTATGTGGTAGACTTCAGTTAGCAAATGCATTGATTACAGGTAGAGAAAGGGGAGCCTGGAAGAACAGAGCAAACTAGGCAGCGTCTGCAGGAAAGGAGAAGTCAATGTTTTGGGTGTTACCTATCTTCAGAACTGGATGTAGGGGATAGAGAGAGCTGTAGAAATGTGGGGTGGGGTCCAGCCAACTGGTGGTTATAGGTGGACAGTAGTAGTAGGTGTGACCTAGTTCGTTAATGAGAGGGCTCAATGCAGTTAGTGGTTGGAAGGAGAAGGCAGGGGATGGGTGGGTAGGTTACTTGAAATTAGGGAACTCAGTGTTCAGTCCTCCAGGTTGTACGGGGCCCAGGCAGAAGGTGGTGTTCCTCAAATTTGCTTTCTGAATTGCTGGGACACTGAAGGAGGTAGAGGAAGCATATGTCAGAGTGGGACAGGAGTGGGGAGTTGAAGTGGATGGTGACTGGCTGGTTAGGCTGGCCGTTACAGGCCAGGTGAAGATGCTCGGTGAAACAGTCTCCTCGGCTACATTTAGTCGTATCGATGTAGAGAAGACCACACTGGGAGCACCAGATGCAGTAGACTAGGTTGGAAGAGATGCAGGTGAAGCTCTGTCTCACCTGGAAGGACTGTTTAGGGCCCTGGATGGAGGTGAAGGAGGTGGTGCATGGACAGGTGTTGCATCTTTTACGGTTACAGGGGCAGGGTTTGGGGTGGTTAGTGAGGAGTGTGGCGTGAACTAAGGAGTGGCAAAGGGAATGGTCCTTGTGGAAGGCAGAGAGGGGTGAGGAATGTAAGATGTTCTGGGTGATAGGATCTAATTGGAGTTGGCCGAAGTGTTTTAGAATGATACGTTGGATGCAGAGGCTGGTGGGGTGGAAAGTGAGGACATGGGAAACCCTATCTTTATGATGTTTTGGGAGGTGGTGGTTTAAAGCTGTGGAGCGGGGAATAGAGGCAGCGAGGTGAAAGGCTGTTTGGACGACAGAGTGGGGAAAAGAACATTGTTTGAAAAAGGAAGATATCCGGGATACTTGGGAGTGGAACATCTCCTCATCAGAGCAGATAAAATGGAGACGGAGGAATTGGGCAAACGGGATGGAGTTTTTGCAGGATACAGGATGGGAGGTGGTGTAGTCTAGGTAGCTGTGGGAGTCTGGGTTTATAGTAAATGTTGGTCCGTGAACTGTTACCAGAAATGGAAACGGAGAGGTCGAGAAATGGGAGGGAGGTATCTGAGATGGACCAAGTGAATTTAAGGGCTGGGTGGAAGTTGTTAGCGAAGTCAGTGAACTGCTCCAGTTCACCGAGTGCAGGACGTAGCACCGATGCAGTCATTGATGTAGTGGTGGAAGAATTGGGGAACAGTACCGGTGTACGTACTGAAGAGGGACTGTTCAACGTAACCGACAAAGAGGCAGCAGCAGCTGAGGCCCATGCAACCGCCTCCAGATTTGGAGAAAGTGTGAACAATTGAAGGAAAAGTTATTGAGGGTGAGGACTAGTTGGCTAGGCAGAGGAGGGGTCTGGATGGCTCTGTTAGAGAGGAAAAAAAACTGAGGCCCTGTAGGCTGTCTTTGTGGGATACAGACATATGTAGGGATTGCACATTACACACTGTGATAATAGGTGATCATTCTCATGCACTGACTTTCTCTCCCTACAGATGCTCCCAAATCTGCCAAGTATTCAGAGAATGCTGTCGTTTGACCTATCAATTACGTACAGAGCAAATCAGTGATTTATTTTCACTCTTTCTTCAATTCTTTGAACTTGAATCAAACTTCTTGCATTCAATTTGCAAAGTACAAACCAGGCTCACTACATTTAACTATGTACTTGGACTTTGTGAAATCCATGACAAATAATGACATTTTCTGAGGGAACATATTTTGATGCATCTAGAAGGGCAGCACAAATTGAGTATGGCCAACAAATAAAATATACTGAATTTTAAATTAAACACTGACTCATCAGCTCTGTATGTAATCGAGTGACTGCAGGTGGAGTCTGGGCAATGTTTAGTAACATTTACCCTCTCTTCAATCCATCCCTACTGCTGTGCTTACTTATGGTCCCTAACTCTTTCCTGCTGGTACGGAACTTAAGTGTAACTAAACAGAAAACAACAGTGAACAGCAGCAAAGAGGCTAGTGTAGGAGTAACAGAGATAGCAAGAACTGCAGATGCTGGAGTCAGAGATAACAGAGTGTGGAGCTGGAGGAACACAGCAGGCCAGGCAGCAGAGGATCAGGAAAATTGATGTTTTCTTCAGAAATGGGAAATGGGGAATGGGGAATGGGGAATGGGGAGGGGGGAGGGGGGGGGGGCGGAGGGGAAGGGAGCTGGGAAATAGATAGAGGACGATTGGGCTGGGGAAGGTAGGTGGGGTGGTGATAGGCGAGTGCAGGTAGGGAGTGGTGGGGATTGATCAGTGAGGTGGGAGGGGTGGCTAGGTGGAAGAGAAGGTGGACAGGTTGTGTCAGGTCAAGGCGGCAGGGATGAGAGGGAGGGTCAGACATGGCTTGAGGCCAGGGGGTGGGGAGATCTTAAAACTGGTGAATTGTGTGTTTAGGCCATTAGGCTGTAAGGCTCCCAAGGTGGATGGTGCCATTGTGACACTGGAGGCGGCCCAGGATGGACATGTCACCAAGGCAGTGGGAGGGGGAGTTAAAATGGTTGGTGACTGGAAGGTGTTGTCATTTGTCGTGTACAGAGTGCAGATGCTCTACGAAATGGTCTCAGCGATATAGAGAAGGCCACATCGGGAGCCGTGGATACAGTAGACCAAGTTGACAGATGTACAGGTGAACCCCTGTCTGATATGAAAGGTTTGTTTTGGGCCTTGAATGGAGGGGCAGGTGTAGCAGTTCCTGCGGTTGCAGGGAAAGGTGCCGGGTGTGTGGGGTTAGTGGGTAATGTGGAGCGGACGTGGGAGCTGCGGAGTGAGCGGTCCTTACAAAAAGCAGATAGGGGTGGGGAGGGAAATATCTCTTTGGTTGTGGGGTCAGATTGTAGGTGGCAGAAGTGGTGGAGAGTGATACACTGGATGCGGAGGTTGGTGGGCTGATAGGTGAGGACAAGGGGGAATTCTGTATTTTTGTTGGGAGGAGGGGTTTTGAGGGCAGAAGTCCAGGAAATGCAACAGATGCAGTTGAGGGCATTTTTGATCACCGGAGTGGGGGGATGTTGCGGTCCTTGAAATAGGAGGACATCTGGGATGTTTGGGAGTGGAACGCTCCATCTTGGGAGCAGAGGCGGAAGAATTGGGAGTAGGGATCGCATTCTTGCAGGAGGGTGGGTGAGAGGTGGTGTAGTCCAGGTAGCCGTGGGAGTCATTGGGCTTGAAATAGATGTCAATTTCGAGGCAGAAATGGAGACAGAGAGGTCCAGGAACGAGAGGGAAGATGGTCCAGGTGAATTTGAGGTTCGGGTGAAAGGTGTTAGTAAAGTTGATGAACTGTTCAAGCTCCTCGTGGGAGCGTGAGGCAGCACGATACAGTCATCAATGTAGCAGAGGAAGGGGGTGGGATAGTGCCAGGGTAACAGCGGAAAAGGGACTGTCCATGTATCCTATGAAAAGGCAGGCATAGCTTGGGCCCAGGAGGGGGACTAGTTGGGCCTGCGGGAGATGAAGAAGCAGAGGGCTTTTAGGTCATCTGTGTGGGGGATAAAAGTGTACAAGGACTGGATGACCATAGTGAAGATGAGGTGTTGGGGGCAAGGAAATTGGAAGTCTTAGAGGAGGTGGAGGGCATGGGTGGTGTCCCGGATGTAGTTCGGGAGTTCCTGGGGGGAAAAGACAGAGTCAGGGTAAGCGGAGATGAATTCAGCATAGCATAGCAGTAATTCTTCTTTGCACCACCCCTACACCACTGCAATGTTATATTAGTTGCAGGCTGAGGCAAAATTGTATATTAGATTTCTGAGTGAAACCTCAACATCAGTGCAAAATGTTTGTGCGGAAATTTTTAAGTCAAGGGATACACTAATCCCAATATAAGCATTTTCCAAATGTCATATGGCACAAAAAACCTGTCACTTATGTTAACAATGAAACGCAACAAACTTTCATTGTCTGCGGGGCTAGAGACACAGACAACAGATATCACAGATACCACTTTATTTAACTGTCCTGTATACCAAGAAGACCTGTACAATCAGACAGGATGAATCCAAGAAAAAAATGAGAAACAGAAACAGAAAGGAGGGTCACTGGGCTCAAAACGTTAACTCTGCTTTCTCTCCAAAGATGCTGCCAGACCTGCTAATTTCTCCAACAAATTCTGTAATTGTTTTTGATCTTCAGCATTTGCAGTTCTTTGTTTTATTTAAGAAGATGATGGGGTTTGGGACCAACCTCGTGCGTACACAGATTTGCGAGTAGCATATAACTAAGGATGAGTGTAATCATTATTTCTCTAAACTGTTCAGCTACACTGTTGTCACTGGTGCTACCCAGGTATCCAAGTATGAAGATAAACAAAAAGGTAATAAAGTATACGAAAAGCCCACAACCTCCAAGTCACTCCATCATCCTAAATTGGAAATACATCACTATTTCTTCAGGGCTGCTTTAAAAAAAATCCTGGTTGTCCCTCCCTAACAGCATTATTGAGTATTATTTCAAGAGAACAGCTCACCACCACCTTTTCAAGGGCAATTAGAGATGGACAATAAATGCTGGCCAGTGATGCCCACATTCTATGAATGAATTTTTGTTTTAAGATAAAACACACTAGAACCTAGAATCTACAGTGGAGTGACAATATAAAAGATCCAAGAAGAACAGGAATTGAAATAAACAATATTGTGAAGTAACTAAAAGAGATTATATCCAGATAAAAGCTGCATTCCGAGTCCATATTTTCTTTACATTTGTTGCCAGTGAACAATTGAGGCATTTTAGCCAATACCAGAAATCTGAAAAATGCATTTCTAGAAATACAGGCCAATTACGATCTGACAAAAAATGGTTTAATGTTTCAGACAGAATCTTTTCATACAGCAGTCTTAAAAAAGGTCACCTTTGATGATCAGCATGGAATCAGAATTTTACAGTGCAAGAGGCAAGCATTCAAGGTGTTAAACAATACCTTGACGTCATGGATGATAGTCTTTGGATTGCTTTCTGCGCATCACAGACTGGAAGGTTGGAAGAGAAGATTAGAAAAAATACGTGGCTGTCGTAGGAATGATGTAGAAGGATCCACCTGATGAAGAAGCAGCGCTTTGAAAGCTTGTGATTTCAAATAAACCTGTTGGACTATAACCTGGTGTTGTGTGACTTCTGACTATGTAGAGGATTGACAGTGCTTGCACTATTGAACCAAGTTGTGAAGCAAGTGAAAGTTGTACAGAGGGAACAGTCATCACTTGAACTAAAACTCCACCAAAGTCCTGAAGCAAGAGCAAATAGGAGCATCTAATACAGTAGGATCTGGGGTAACCAGGTTTAGAACTAAAGAGGATGATTGATTACTAAAGCTTTTGGAATGAAAGGCATGACTTAATTAAATGTAAATGGGGTCAGAGTAGAAAGAGAAGCAATCAATTGTACAGATATATAAGACTTAACACAGCAGAAAAATATACAAGGCTGAAGATTCCAGAAGTTCAAGAGCCAAAACTGAATTATACGCACATGAATGCAAAACACAATAAGTCAGAAATTACAATATCTATGGAGAGATGTGATATAGTATCCATAACAGGGATGTGACTTAAGGTTGAACCAATTTATAACCTTAATACTGTATTGCTTAAAACATTCTTAGGAGAGCTAGAAATGAAGGAAATGAGATAAGATGTCAGTTTAATAAAACATTCTGGAACAGCACTGAAATACGCAGTTGTTCTGTGGGATTTCATTAAGACAGAGTTCAGAAATATGAACAGAAATTGTACATTGTTAATGATCCAAACAGATATACCATAGAATAAAGTTCAGAAGATTTAATTATGCTCAAACAATAAAGATAATGTAGATTGTAATGAGGAAAATCTTTTAGAATGAATACATGACTGCTGCTTGATGAGTATGTATCTGTTTCAATTCAGTTTTGGAGAATTTCAGGGGAAAAACTAATTGACATGACAGTAGGAGAACTGTGGTTTAATAATCATAACGTAGTTCAGTTCAAAATGATAATACACACTCAAAGATTACAGCATGATATTTGAAGAAAGGCAAAGTTTAGTATGATAGGAAGGGGTCTTTTCAAATTAATGGGCAGAATAATTAGCGATGGACCAGTGGTTCAGAGTAGAAATCTTCCAAATGGATCATGGAGAGTACAAATTAATACCAAGGGTAAAAACAAAAATCAAAATTGAATTAATTGCATAAATAGGTTGATTAAAATTAAACAATCCTAACAGGCATGAAAACAAGTTAAGGATAACATCGAAGAGATTAAACATCTACAAATTCGCATAGCTAGTTTCCTTAACGACGCTATGATAAAAGCATTAAATAATGAGGATACATTCTAAACTGAGAATGAAAGTGATGATCTGCTTGGTGATTACAAGTTGATAAAATACTTATTCAGGTGGAGGATGTCCAAGGGGTATAGTCTTAAAATGAGTGATAGGCTGTTGAGAAATTGTGTCCAAAAGCACTGTCACATGATGGAAAACTGGAATACTCCTTGTAAACGATTCCCTCCAATCTTTTCAAATGCATCCACGAACTACATGATCCCTGATGAAGGAGGTGGTGATATACAAAAATACAAATAATTAACAAAGAAGCAAATGTCTGAAGAAGAGCAGCGTAAGGAAAATGGAACATGCTGAATCTGTACTTACAAATTTGGAATTCCTATCAACTTGTAACAATGAGCACGCAGTTTGTTTGCAGTAATCAAAGTTTAAGTGAACTTACTCAGATCTTGATTCCAAGCCTGTAACATGAAGAATGTGGTGTGACTGCTATTTTTAAAGGAACTGAACAGACAAAAGCTGCAAGATGTTGCTTCAAATAAGAATAAATATTGATAAGGTTAAAGTTATTGATGAACTTGTAACAGAAGTGCCTCATGGGCTGGTGCTCGGAAACCAAGTAGTTGGCAGAGATGAGATTATTGTCTTGTTAATCCTGCGAGGGGTAGACAGCAGAGAAATGACCCCAAACTTCCAGCTGTTTGTCAGTTTAACACACCACAGTGTTCCCATACTAACATTTTGGTCTCAGGCCTGTTGCAGTGCTCCAGAGAAGCTCAATGCAATCTAGAGGAACACACCTTATTCTGCTGAGGTACCTTACAGCCCTAAGGACTCAATGTCAAGTTTAATAATTTCAGAGTGAGAATACCTTCGTCCATGTTCATTATCCACCTTTACACCCCCAAGTCCTGTTTTGTATAGGTTGCACCCAGAACAGCCAACCATTTTCAGCCATTCACACTTGCCATTGGCACCCATTCAGTATTTCTGTATTTTCCGACATCCTCAGTAATTCTTTTGTCTCCCTTTTTTTTCCTCTCTCCAGCATCTGGTTGACTCACTCTCACTTCTCCCTTTCCCTCCTCCCCCCCACACACCAATCAGCACAAATACCATCATTGAAGGTGGGGAGAGCACTGGGGTGGGTCTCGGCCCGAAACGTCAGCTTTCCTGCTCCTCTGATGCTGCTCGACCTGCTGTGTTCATCCAGCTCTACACCTTGTTATCTCAGATTCTCCAGCATCTGCAGTTCCTACTATCTCTGAAACTCTCTTCTCTCCTGAGATACTGCCAGACTTGTGGAGTTTTTCCAGCACTATGTTTTTGCTACAGATATCCAGCATCTGCAATTCTTTATTATATACCTAGCTCTGTAAGATGATGATGATGATGATGATGTAAAACCTTGATTCAGCTACCAAGAGAACTGAGTCTTGAGATGAAAGCTTTGGCCTATCTTAAGCTTATCATTTGGGTAGCAAGCATTGAGCAGGGTGTAAGAAATTATGCCCTCAACCTGATAGCTCAGGCCAAAGTAGGTTTATTAACTCCTTAGAGAATGGAAGGAGAAAACTGATCATTCCTTCTATTCAGAGTCTTAGTCAAGCCAAGGCAACCTTATACATGAGGGAGTGTGAATAAGTACGGAGTGTAAGTTTCTTTTTCAGTACTGAACAAACAAGTTGTACACAAACCCTAATTTGGGAGTCTCAAATTGTTGATACCCAGAGCAAGCCTCTGAAACCAAAATGAAGTGGCTGGAAATGCTCAGCAGTCTGGCAGCATCAGTGAAGAAAAATCAGAGTTAACTTTTCGGGTCCTGTGACCTCTCTTCCGTTCGGAGGGAGGGGTCACCAGACCCAAAATGTTAACTCTGATTTTTCTTCACAGATGCTGCTAGACCTGCTCAGCTTTTCCAGCAACTCCTGTTTTTATTATTAACTTACTAAATGTGTTCCATTTAGTAAATTATACCCCCAGAGCTCTGGCAAGGAAAAGCCAATAGAAAATTAGAGAACTGATAAATTGTTATTCAGCATTTTTATACAGGTTCATTTATTCGGATGGATAGAATTAAAATTTCAATCAACTATGTTTTCATTGATGGGCAGAATAGGGTTGAGGAGGAGAATGGCCTGTTTTTGTTCTGGAACATGCACACAGTTCAAGTTCCAAAGGCATGTCAACAATTAGAATGTATTTAGTTCACAAGATATAAAGTAATTAGATATGTAATAAATAACACAGAAATAGTAAACAAGACAGAGAGGAGATGGGATAAGAGTCCAAAGTTGAAATCTAGAAATCGCCACTACAATGAAGTTAGTGTATAAATAGGGTAAAGTCAGACTGCAGCTTTAACAAATGTCCTGGTTCTAAAACAGCTCTGATGGGGAAATGAATCCAGGAGCTGATTTAGGGCCACCCTCTAAGGGATGCATTGCTGAATGAAAGGAGGCAGTATGGATGGTTAACAATGAGTTAATACATACGTTGCACTAGAAGTCCAAAAGAGATGAGAGATGTATTCAAAATAGTAATGCCCACCCGCAAATCCAATGCACCCATTACAGAGTGAATAAAAGCAGCAAACATTTGGAGGCTGTGATGTAGAATCCAGAGCTGGATGGAATCCAGAAATAGATCAGAGTTAGCTCAGTGTAATGGAAAATTCCCAAAGATGGGCAGAAAACTAAGGTCATCAGAAAATAACAGGTTGAGAATAGCCCAGCAAGGAATATTGCCTTTGTAGAATACAGCAGTGACTGTTAAGGCCCCCCATAAGCTTAAAACTCTGGAAAATTTGACTTTCTTTACTAAAGTAACCGTCATTGCGTCAAATCAATGTCCATTTTCACAACTTTCTCTTTTAATCCTTCTGATCTGATTTCTTCCCTGCTGTAGCACTGAAGTGCTGTTAAATGAAGTTAAAAGATTTTTCAAATGTCTTTGTGGTGCAGTTTCCCTCATCAGTTTCTCTGCAGTCTTTGACACAGTTCATCAAACTATTTCTTCTAATACCTTTCCCCTGTTATGTAACCTTGCTTGGTTCCAAATCTCAATATATCTTAGCTAATTCTTCAGTTCATACAAAGAATTTTTTAAACTTGTATTCTATCCTGAACGATGTCCCAAGTCCCGTCCTTGGTGAAGTATATCACTATAAATTCAAAACTCTCAATTCTTCTACCTCTGGCTTCTTACAAAACCGTCCCAAAGTTCTTCTTGTAGTTGCTCTTTTATCACCTTTGGACTCTATTCCTCCATTACCCATTTGTATCAACCTACTTGAAAGGTTTGCATGCTGAAGAACTGTGATTTGTCCTAGGCTGCACTGATAGTCTCTCTTTCACTCAGCAGCCATAAGCCTTGTCTTAGTAAATCACATAGGCTATTGATCTCATGAATTTCTTGAACGAAATCTTAAAATCTATCCATTGTGTCATACCATTTTATCTCTGCTTCCTTTTCTAACATTTCCTCTTCTTTAATCTTCTGTGTAAGGTTTTGTTCTTTAATATTTATGACAGATTAAAAAAAATTCTTTTTCTCATTTACTAACTGAAGAAGCCAAAATCTGCACAAAACAATGCTTGAGGAACAGCTCTGAAACTAGAAAGATCAACTCCCAAAAAAACATTTGTATAAACATTTCAAACATTTAGTATATGTCATTTGCTTCTAAAAGCCAAATAAAAACTAAGCCACAAACACTACATAGATATTACCTTTACCTGAGATTTACAACAATTTTCACAACATATAGATGCATTAACAATTTTACAGCAGTTTAAATTTTGGTTTCCAAAATTCTGACATTCTGAACTGTTTTAATTGATCATTTACAACTGGCATAAGATGTTACAAAATTGCAACACACATCACAATATGTAACAAAAATCAAATTCTATTCTTTATCCATAATCATCAAAACACTAATCATGATTTTGTTTTGCCAAAATTCCCCTCCATCACCAAAAGGTTATCAATTGGTACAGTTTTATGGGTATCCTATATTCCATTCCTCAACCAAATGGTAATTTGCTAAAGCAAGTAGACCGTAGACTGCTAGAAATATATCTGACTGTACACTATCATATTCAAGGCAGTCCTCAACCAGTCATTGCACACTTGGTTCCCATTGGGTTTCACTGGTGATTAGGATTGGGAATTCCTATCTCGTGATATTGAAATCAGCTAAATATAAATTGGAAAAGATGGACCCACGTAGTAGGTAGCAGGTACACGTACACAAGATAGTGCCCTTGCCCACCAAACCATTGGGGTGCTGTCATGATACAGAAACAAATCAAGTTAAGGTCACACTTTAAAAGAAGGATCAACACATTTTCAGAAGACAAATAACAAAAGTCAAAGTTCGATAGAGAGCTGTCTATCCAAGACCAGTGCAAATAGAAACCACCAGTCAAGATGTTTCATTGTTTATGGTGATACATTCCCAAAGTGTACAATAATTTCTTTAAATTACTTCTGGTCTTAGGTTTTTATTTCTTGCATCTTCCAAGATGTGAATCTGGGAGCAGGAGGTTTGCTCCAGTTGTTTTTTCAGTTTTCATGCTGAACATATCACCAATTTGACATAAAATTGGGTAAATAAATATTTATCATTCCCATCTGATTGGAATGATAATTCATCTACTGGTTCAGCAATATTCAGCCTGAAATTTGGCAAAGCTCTGTTCGGTTGTCACATTGTTAAGCAAGACTTTATGACAATTTATTTTTAAAAACCAGATCATCTGAATTGCTACAGCACTTTGAAAAAAGCTGTGATTATGTGGAAACCTCGAGATATTAAAGTTAAAAAGAATAGCAGGACCTCTATTTGACATCTCTGCCTCTTCAAAAATATGTTTTCTTTCCCTGGACAAGTAACAATTAATATTTGTTTTGAATCTGTTCACGGCAGTTTTTTACAACAGTGACATTAAAGTTTATGATGCACCATCACTGGTAGTGAATGTGCTTTACGAACAGAAAAACATTACAATATCAAACTCCCATTTACACACATTCTTTGTCCGCCTTCCAGGAACAGGATTATATAGAGATTCAATACAGGGTGTATTTTGGTATGAAGCACAATTTGTTACTGGGCTTTGCATGACTCTCTATTTTTGTACAAGCTTATTAACCATCTATATAACTCAAGTGTATTGAGGCGAAAGAGCAAAAAATATGTTTTGCTTAGATAATCCAATGTGATGTCACAATGGTACATTAGTCAATGAAATCTACCTTCATCGTGGCAATTATCTAAACCGAAGTCATTCCTCTCACTCTTTCCAACCATAAAAGATTGTTATGGTCATCTGCATATCCCATTCTGTACTGTACCACAATGTGTTCAGGTTTCTATGTCTGAGTCTATATCAGTGTCCCCCTCAATGGAGTGGAATTCCTCGCTGTCTTCCTCATCCTCACTCAGGTGTACCTCATTAAGAACACTTGGTCCATGCCTTTGTTCCTCATCTTCTTCTTCCTCAGACAGCTCATAGTCACATCCTCCACTGCTAAAGGTGGTATCACGAGTATTTGATTTGAGCTCAGTTTCTTCATAGCTCTCATAGCTTCGTGGTGGGTGGGGTGGAGAAAGAGAGAGAGAAAAATGTTGCATTACTGTTTAATGAGATATGATTTAGCTGAATCATGAAAGATCCAGACTGACACTGGTCTCAAATAAACCATATAATATTTGCTCTTTATGTTTCATCTTGATAGGAGCTTTATGAGTAATTCATAAAATGAATTTGCTTTCAAGTCCAATCATCTGCTTCACATTCCAGTCAAGCAACAGTCGTCATTAGTCCAGTTCCTTAATGATTACCTTTGATACATCCCAAAATTCCTATCCTTGGAACTTTCCTATTCAATACCAATGATCAGTATTTATTAAAAATTATATCTGCAGTTCCAAGACCATGATGGTGACTTTCAAGAACTCTTACAAAGGGCGATGTGATAGAACTATTAACTCCCTGGCCTGCCCTGCAGAAGAAGTCTAGCTGATCATGAAATTGGCTGCAGCCAGTCTGCATTTTGCTGCTTTGAGTTTGTTCCAGTCATGGGCTGGGCAGCAAGGTCAGGGAGCCAGAGGCAAATGGCAAGGAACTGAAAGAGTAGGAGGTAGGCAGAAAAACTTTCATTCTCACTTGCTGGCTATAGGCAAATTTCAGAGCCTTCAAAAAGGTATTTAATTCACCTTAGCCCCCCCATTCTCACTGTGTGGTCACATCAATTTAAATTGCATTAAAATGGGTTGGACAGCGGAAAATGGTTCAGAGCAATGGTCAATTCACTACTCCTTAACAAGTTAGTCAGCTTCAATCAGACTACAATGACACACCACCACCACAGTGGACTTTATTCGATGTTGTCCTAGTTCATTGCATCCCTAACAACAAATTACGTTGAAAACTGACATTTATCAGAAAAGCACACAGTCCGGTGAAAGAAATGAGAGTTTGCCAAATGAACCAGCATTAGCTGCTCCAAATTTCACTAAGTACTTAAAGGCAGCCCTTGATGCTAGTGACCTGAAAAGATGATGGGTCAGGAGTAAAGAAGTGAGTGGAATACTTTTCTAAACAACCAAATTGAAACTGAAAGTTCACTCTACAGTGGTAGGTAAATTCTAATGATTGGTACTGGTACTTTTGAAGTATATATTCATCGAAGCCATGGGGCAATACTGGTATACATTGATCAGCGCCCTTTAACCATTATGGAAAATTTCAAAAATAAGAAAGCTAGACTATTTCAATGGAGTTTACTATTATAGCCCTTTCAATGAAAAAGAATTCTACACTGCGGGAGGGAAAAAACATAATTGCTGTAGTTTTATCTAAAATTTAACTTTGCTTTGAATTATGAGTACCAAAGATGATACTGGGCATAACTGTGTGCTTATATTTAAGAGTGAATGCGAGTTAAGTGCAAAAGATTTTTTTTAACATTGCATAATTTTCAATCTCATTTCTCCAAGGATAGAGTGATATGAAGATGCTTTTTTGAGGCATCATATCTAAAGCATTGTGGGCGATGGTTCATTCAGAGTGATGAAGAAATACATGGACTTTTTACAAAAGCATCAATAATAAGGACATTGTGCTTTTTAAAAGGAAGTCATTTATCGCAAGTAACATTGCTTAAGCAAACTGCTTGAATTTGTTTGCTAGAAATCATAACCATAGGTTCATGGCTACATTATTATTTTTGTTATTTCTTTAAGAAATAACAGGCATTTCTTTGAGCATTTAATGTATCCTTGACAATGATAAAGTCAAGTAGTATTAAGGACCATATGGCTGCTCTCTAATTCGAGAGAGGTGACTGGTCGTAGTTAAACCGGTGGATTGCCACGCCTCAGGCAAGGGGTGGTTGAGAGGAGAATCCTTCATGATAACGTCAGCCAGTACGATGGTAAACTCATTTGAAGGGCTTGAATCAGGTTCAGTTAGTTGTCTTAAATTTTTAAGTCATATTGTAAATGCAATTGGGATCCACAGATATGCAGAGACAGACCAGGAGTACAGGAGGTGCGCTATCAGCGATATAGATTTAGCCTTGGGTGAAATACACACAATACCTGTGAAAACTATGAATAACAACAGAAAATATAATATCACTCAGAGATAGCAAGAACTGCAGATGCTGGAGTCAGAGATAACAAAGTGTGGAGCTGGAGGAACACAGCAGGCCAGGCAGCATCAGAGGAGCAGGAGAGTTGACTTTTCGGGTTGGGACTCTTCTTCAGAAAATATAGTATGTATTTTGTAATGATGTGTATAAAGCTTCAAGATTTTAACCCACAAGAGTCAGTTTTACATTTTATGGTGCATTGCACATGCATGAAATAAATGATTGTTAACCTGATTTCCTTAAATCAAGGAAGTTGTTTGTAAGTGAAAAAAGAGGTACTGGAACACATTGAGAGTTGTTTACACAACTCTGCCTTATTCAAGCCGTGGGGTGAAGGGTAGACACATTAACACACTTTATGCTTGTGTGTTCAGGGCAGTTTTGGCCAGAGACAAGTCTTCTGATTGCTTTTACAATCAGGAAAGGTCAAAGAATGTTAAGCATAGTAACAACTTATAGAGTCATACAGCACAGAAACAGACCCTTCGGTCCAACCAGTCCATGCCAACCATAATCCCAATCTAAACTAATCCCACCTGCCTGCACTTGGCTCATATCCCTTCAAACATTTCTTATTCATGTAGTTATCAAAATGGCTTTTAAAACTCATAACTATCTATATCCACCACTTTTCCTGGAAGTTCATTCCACACATGAATCATTCTCTGCAAACAAAAAATTGCCCCTGTCTTTTTTAAATATTTCTCCTATCATCCTAAAAACGTGCCCTATTGTCTTAAAATCTCCCAGCCCGGGGAAAAGACACCTGCAATTTACTTTTATCTACCTTTACAAACTTCTTGAAGGTCACCCCTCCACCTCCCACACTCCAATGGAGAAAAGTCTTAGCCTGTTCAGCCTCTCCTTATAACTCAAACCCTCTATTCCCGGAAACATCCGGGTAAATCTCTTCTGAACACACTTCACTTTAATGATATCCTTCCTACAATATAGACTAGAACTGGACACAGTACTCAAAAAAAGTAATGAAGGCAACCGTGTTAAATACCTTCTTAACCACCCTATTTATGTGCAATGCAAATTTCAAAGAATTGTGTACCTGAACCCCTTGGCCTCTCTGATCTGCAACACTACCCAAGGCCCTACTTTTAACTGTAGAAGTCATCCCCTTGTTTGCTTTACCAAAATGCAGTGCATTTATTCAGATTAAACTCCATCTGCCACTCTTCAGCCTATTGGCCCAATTGATCAAGAGCTCTTTGTTCACTGTCCGCCATACCACCAATTTTGGTGTCATCTGTAAATTTACTACTACTACTAACTGTTAACAAGATCAGGGAGATAACTCCCACTGTTCAGCCTCCTGTTACACACTCAGGATATGAAGAAATTCTAGAGATCAAAAACTGCAGTGAGACAGACTTAGGAAAGGGGGGAAAGAAGAAGCAGTTTGCAAGGTGGGGAATAAAAGACAGAATCAGATGGGAGAGGCGTGAATGGGGGAAACAGACTTCTTTATTATATCATAAGCATGTGATTTCTGTTTTAATTTAGACAGTAGAGGAGAAGCCTCTTGCCTACAAGCAGAAACAGAAAGCATCCCCATCATTTTTCATCCTGTATGGAGAAATAACAGAAAATCTGGTAGCTGTTCTTCTCACCATTTTCCTGTAAACTGCTCTATCTGCAAACTCCCTTGTTGAAGGCGAAAGACACCTTCAGAGGCACTGAAAGGCAAATCCTCAACCAGTAAAGGAAAAACTGAGAATCAGCATATCAACAAATTTACATCATCAGCAAAGAATTAGAAGGAGTCAAAAGAAAGCTGAAAGAAAACAACTTATGGACAACTATGATCGAGACTTAAGCCAGAACTGTGCTTCTCGGATACTTTCCCCCACCCACAATATTTGTATCTTGTCTATTTGTGTTGTTGCCTCTTCGTGTGTTGTTGTGTGTGTGTATGGAGATTTCAGGAAAGGGGTAGAGTTGAAGTTACAGTTATACATTAGCAATTCAGCTTGTCCATTTTCTGCCATTGGTTAAAAGCGGTTTGATTACAATAAATAATTATTTTCTTGTTATGGCTTTCCTACTGTGTTAACCTGAATTGGAAAGGTAAAATTCATTGGTTTTTCATACTTGTGATGGCTCTGGAAATAGCGGGACTCGATTTCCAACGCTCCACCCCAATGAGTCTTTGAAGAAAAGTGGGAAATATTTGTGAGGCATAGTACTCTTTGGTCCCTTGCTGAAACATACACCATGTCAAAAAGTCTGTGGGTAGGGAAGACCAACGTCCCACGGTCTTGAAACCTCGTGACTCCCAAATAGCCGAACTTGCACAACAATGTCATACCTGCAACCCTAGAGCGGCAGTCATGCACAATTATATGGAATCCTTCAGCCTCAGTTGCCATGGTGAGCAGATGTTACCCCTGCTAATGTGCATTAAGTCTGGGAGCAACAGAAGAGGCAAAAGACTCTAACAAGTTAGTTAGACCAGCAAGGTGTGTGACATACTCAAGGACACAGTCATGACATTTGGGTAAGGCAGTGTGGCTAGTCACAACAGTAAAGTTTTGGATCAGACATAACACTTAGGAATAGATAGTCATGGTCAAAAAATAGGACATACAGAAGATGTTGGGCCCCCTGAATCCAATAGTGACCGGAAATGAGAAACCTCTGCCAGACAAAGTAACCTACAAATTTGTGACAAAGATGATCTAAACGTCCAGGACAATTCAGTCATTATCATAGAATCTCTACAGTGTGGAAGCTCGCCATTAGGCCCATCGAGTCCACACTGACCCTCCGAAGATCATCCTGCCCATCTGTGGACACTAGGCACCCAGAGGAAACCCACGGAAACACAAGGAGTAGGTGCAAACTCCAGGAAGTCGCCTGAACGTGGAATTGAACCTGACTGAGCCAGGTAGAAAAGCTTGCTAATTTCATACAGGTCATGGATAGACATTGCATTGATTTATTAGGAATGGAAGAAGAAAGATGGTTAGAATCTGGTCAAATGAAAAAGAATAAATCAGCTGCTTTACTTGTCAGGTGGTGAAAAGTGTTGGGATGCCAGTAAAAAAGCTATTGGCCAATCTCAAAGTGATCATGATTAAGATCAAGAAAAGGCCTTTTGATCTAATTATCATAGACATTTATGCACAAACAAAACTTCACAGAAAGCAAAGGAATTTTATGATGACATCAAATGTTATGATCAAGTTAAATCAAAGCATCAAATACTAGTAATGCACATTGGTCAACAGGGCTTCAGATCAAGAAAGGAAAGAGAGACACTGCCCAAATTTTGTCAAGCACCTTTTTTTAAGCAACCAAAAGGACAATATATTTGGAGAGGTCCAGGCAATTGATTAGGTGATGGTGAAGCAATGTTTTTAAAACAACATACAGATATTCATGTCTAACCCAGCACAGATATTAATTCAGAACATCGTCTTATTGTGACAAATAGCAACATAGAACTGAAAATAGCAAAAACAAGGTGGACAATAATTTAGATCTTGACAAGTTGAAGAATGAAAACATGTGATAGGTATTCAATTTTAAAAGAACAAGTATAAATGCCTCAAACTTGATGAAGCTGAACAAAGTTGTCACAACAACAAAATGAAAGCCAATGGATAAATATGAAGTACACAACATGCTGCAAAGCAAATAACACCAAAACAAAACAGAAAACACATGTAGAATCATAGAAAATAGGAGTAGGCCATTCAGCCCGCTCTGCCATTCAATATGATAATGATTGATCATTGACTTCAGTACCATGTTCCCGTGCTCTCCACTTGATCAGTTTAGTACTAAGAACTATTAACTATTATTCAATGTTTTGGCTTCAAAGACTCACCACCCTCTGGGTGAAGAAATCTCAGCCCAAAAGGGCCCAGCCCATATCTTTAAACTGTGACCTTGGTCATCAGGAACGTCCTTTCTGCAATTACCCTGTCTAGTCCTGTCAGAATTCTAGAGGTTTCTATAAAATTCACCCATCATGCTTCTAAACTTCAAAGCAATCCAGTCTGTTTTCAAATGTCAGTGTTGCCACCCCAGGAATTAGTCTGGTAAACCTCACTGCACTCCCTCCAAGGCCAGAGCATCATTCCTCAGATAAGGAGATCAAAACTGCACATATTACTCCAGGTGTGGTCTCACCAAGGCCCTATACAATTGCAGCAAGACATCCCTGCTCCTGCACTTGATTCCTCTTGCAATGAAGCCAATATACCATAGTCTTCTTCAGCTGCACATGCACGCTTACTTTCAGCAATTAGTGCATAAGGACATGAAGATCTCAGCACGCCTCTGCCTCTCCAATTCTTTGCCACTCAGACAATAATCTTCCATCCTGTTTTTGCCACAAAAGTGGATAACCTGACATTTAACTATATTACACTTCATCTGCCATGTATTTGCAGACTCACTCAACTTGTCAAAATGACAGTGAACATCACCGCATCCTCTTCAAAGTTTATCTTTGCACCCAGCTTTGTGTCATTTGCGAATTTGAGTACATTACACTTAGTTCCCTCATTTAAATCTTTAATATATATTCTGAATTACCAGGGCCTAAACAGCAATCCCTGCGGTACCCCACTAATTACTGCCTGCCACTTGGAAAAAAGACCCATTTATTCCTACTCTTTATATCCTGAATGCCAATCAGTTCCTCATTCATGTCTATAGTCTATACATACCCCAATCCCATATGCTTGAATTTTACATGCTAATATTGTATGTGGACCTTACCAAAAGCCTTGTGAAAGTCCAAATAAAGCACATCCACTGGCTCGCATTTTCAACTCTACTTGAAAAATTCCACTAGATTTGTCAAGCATGATTTCTCTTTTGCAAATCCATTTTGACTCTGTCGAATCCTGTCAGTTTCAAGTGTTTTGCTATTACATCTGTTATAATGAACACTAGCACTTTTTCCACTACCGAAGTCAGACTAACCAGTTTATAATTCTGTTTTCTCTCTCCCTCCTCACATTAGCAAACCTACAATCTACAGGAAGTGTTCCAGAGTCTACAATTTACGGAGAGGTAGACTGACAGAGTCATACAGCGTGGCAACAGACCCATCGGTCCTATTTGTCTGTGCTGACCAGACATCCCAATCTGACCCAGTCCCATTTGCCACATTTGGCCCATATCCCTCTAAATTCTTCCTACTCATATGCCCATCCAGATGCCTTTTAAATGTTGTAATTGTACCCCCCTCCACCACTTCCAGATGACCACTAATGCATCAATCATTTACGGGGCCAGTTCCTTTCATACTCTATTATGGTCATCTTTCCCTAAAGGACATCATACTGCTAGAATGCAATTATGCCTTTTTCAGTACAAACAATATCCAGTCTCAAATAGCATGCTTTCTCATTGTTTTCTTAAAGTATTGTTCCAGAGAATCATCACATACAAAATACAGCAATTCGTCCTCTATGGGACTGTTCCTGATTTGATTTGCTCAAACTATATGCAGATTAATGTGAATGACAGAATAAGATACTAGCAATGAAAGAACAAAGGAAAGAAACACATTAGCATGATGAAATTGAACATAAAGTAAAGGCAGCAAGGTAAAGAGAAATAGTATAATGAGATGGGAGTGCTGAAACATTGGAGCTGGGGGGAAAAAAAAATCACAAAATGGGAATTGTGCACCAGAAGATCAAATCTTTGACAAATAAAAAGAGACAACAACAGATAATGGATGCATAAAAGACAAAGGTGGTAAAACATTGTTTGAAAGGGATGCAGTAGCAAAATGATGGATACAACATATGTGAAGTCTATGATAATTAAAATCAAGACAGTCCTCAAGGTATGGAGGCAAACAATGGATGAAACACATCAGAGGTAAATAATACTTTCAAATTGATGAGTACAGGAAAATGTCTAAAAATCATAACAAAAAAAAACATCAAAGGAACGATTGGTAAAAATCTGAAAATGACCCTGGAGTAGAAACACGGGAGAGAATATTTAACCTAAGAATATTTGTCAATAAATATCTAGAAGTAAACAATAACATTTACATAGGTTTCATAGAATATTAAAAAGTGTCCAATCGTGTTTATCATGAAAGGTTAATAGACATGTTGTTCATGTGTTAACACTGACAGTAAAGATGTGAGATTTATTTAATGCCTATACTGGAACCAATAGTGAGCAACAGGTTTGAAGAATCAAAGTCAGACTTGTTTTAAGTGAAGAGACGAGTAAGGCAGGGATAAAATATTCAGTCTAGACTCGGAACAGATATTCAAAGAAAGGCCATGTAACTATTGAGAAAACAATTCACCCAAATATTCAAGGTGACTGGCAATAATTAAAATAGGTAAATCATCATATAAAACAAAGAGAATGGAACCACTTGTGTGTAACAGCATCAAAGCAAGAGTAACAAATTGTTTAACAGCACTATCAAGTGTCTGCATTCCTTTGTACATCTGTTAACACTTCTTTCTGCTTCGTGAACTTGGTCCCTGCTGGTTCAAAGGAACATGCTTTTTAAATAAGTGATAAACCCACCCTGCTCAATTAATTTTACCTTACATTACTGTCCTCCATGATCTGAGAGGTCTCACCACCATCTCCTTCATAGGACATCATGCTCTCCTCATTCTCCATTCCCATGCGTGTATTCTCAGGTATTAGATGAGGTCTTTTTGGTCGAATGGCAGGCATTTCAACATCAGAGTCACTCCCACTCTCACTGAGCTGAATGGCTATTTGAAACAATGAAAGTACTCAAATTAACCGGCAAAGTTACCGTTATCACTCACTAAGAACCTCAAAAGAGTGTTTGTTTCATACTCAAGTTAGGACACAACTGCTCTTTATGTACCAGAATGGTATATGCAACAACTCATTTTCTCAGAGATAGTAAGAACTACAGATGCTAGAGTCAGAGATAACACAGTGTGGAGCTAGAAGAACACAGCAGGCCAGGCAGCATCAGAGGAGCAGGAAAATTGACGTTTTGGGTCGGGACCCTTATTCTGAAATGAAGGGTCTTTCCAAGTATTTAAAGCAGCAAAACAGAAAGTCAAGTGCACCCTAAAGTATAATCCTTATTCATCTTCAAATATTAAGACATTGTTCAGTGTCAACACTTAACCATGTACAATGGATTTTAATATGTACATAAATCTCTATTCTCTCATTTACAGGGGAAACATCCATTGAAATCCTTTTAGTTTCTTACATATGAGTGAATTTCCAATGTCCATTTGCAGAAAAGGAGAGGTTCTGCTAAGGAAATATGAGGAACTATATGCTAAATTGAAAAGCATAACCTCAAAGGTAATAATCTCCCAACTACTACCTTTACAAATTGGTGTAGTTCAAATAAGATTAGGAGTTAAAAGATTGGTGTAGGAGAAATGGGTTTAGATTCATGGCACGCTGGAACTAATATTAGGCAAAGTTGGAGCTGGGATGGTTTTCACCAGAATTGCACTGGAAACAGTATTTTGGCGAGTTATATTCTTGGGTATGTAGAGAAGGCTCGAAAGTAAATACAATTGATTAGGTAACACTAATGGAAATGGTGCTTCAAGTATGGCAGGAAGGGACAGAACATACACTCTAAGAAAGTATAAGCAGATAAGGCCAGAGGTTACAAAAACAGTAAAAAGGCTAAACTAAAGATGGTGTCTGAATATATATAGCATTTATAGGATCACGAGTAGGCCATTCAGCTCCTGAAGGCTTTCCATCACAAAACAGATGAATTGACAGCACAAACAGAAATAAATATGTATGCTCTGGTAGTCATTACAGAGACAGAGATGACTTTATTTCCAGACATCAATCAGTTTGGGTAGAGATGAGATATGGAAAAGCTAAGGAGCTATTTCATAGTAGTAACCATACTGTATAATGGATATACAGGAAAAAATAATGAGGGCTTGTGAGAAAGGTGCAGCAATAATCCATATATTAATTAACGAATCACATTAAGAAAGGTAGAAAGAACGATGAGTTCTTAGAGCATTTTTGGGAATGTGTCTTAGAGCAGCATGTTCTAGAGCCTACCAGATCTAGTATAGCTCTGGTTATGTGATGAAAGAAGATTAGTTACCTCATGGTAGACCTAGAAAATCAAATTCTATTTGAAGGAAAGAAGATTTTTCTAAGATAGGTATTTTAAACAAAATAAGGGCAATTATGAGGACATGACTCAGCTCTTAACCAAGCTGGCTAAAATGAACTGAGAAATAAGATTTCAAGATAGGTCAGTAGAAAAGCAATGGCAGATATTTAAGGAAATACTTCAGAATACTCAAAAAAGGTACATGCCAATGAGGAAAAGAGACTCCAAGAGAAGGATCCACCGTATTGGTTAACTAGGATGTTAAGACAACATCAAATTGAAAGAAAAAGCTTAAAATGAAGCAAAAATGAGTGGCAAGCCAGAAGATTGGACAGAATATTGTTACTCTCCTGGAGCAGAGTTTTAAATTGGTTATAGTCCAGTCAGAGACCTGTAACCTTTTGCTTAATCTTGAAGGAGGAATCCCAAGTATTTAACAATTGTATAAAGCCACAAAGATCCACAAAGTTTGAACAACCAAGCATAAACTTTACCGAACAAATAAGTAAAATTGCTTAAAAATATCAATCTTACACTTTAAAATCAGATGCTCTTGTGGCATAGCCCTCTGAACCAGAAGGCCCAGATTTAAGTCTCACCTGTTCCAGAGGTGTGATGTAACACATCTGAACAGGTTGATTAAAACTATCTATACACTAACATAAATAATCAACCCAAGGAATACCTAAATTAGCCAGAAAAGTACAGCGAAACACAATATGCTGCAGATTAAATTTCTTTGTATGGCACATACTGTGTCCTAGATTGTTTTTTGCATTTAGTGGTGCACTTCTGACCAGATGATCATATCCTTTAAATATTTAAAATGACTGTTGGTTCGAGCCACAAGGCCTCCACACATGAACTAGGACTCTCAGCTTACTGGGGGTTGGAGTTCTCAGCCTCCACACAGTACTATAAAAAGGGCCTCAGACACCGAAGCAACCTTGCAATTATGTCACAGACTTGCACATCAGTGAGCATAAATAGTAATGTGGGAAGAGCTAGAACTCACAACACTATACCACACTAGACGAGAACTTTAGAGTCTTGAGAGAACATAGACATCAACAAACAAAGGGGGAAGGATCAATCCTTATCTAATATAATTGAAGAATCAGAGCATGGTATATCTCAGATTACCATGTACAGCAGCATTTAGTACTGAAGTACAATAAACAGTGTTATTGTGAAGTGTAAGCTTGAAAACAGTTCCTGGTTTGCCTTTTCCTTGACAAATCTTTCTTGAGCACAGTCTCAGCATGGCAACAAACCATGTGACAAAATACTCAGAAACAAGATTAAGTCAGTTTCATAACAAAACAAAGAACAGCAAAGAATGATTGAAAGCTTAATCAGAGACAAAGTACAAGAGAAAGCCAGCTAGAAATATAAAAACAAACAATAAGAATTTCTACACATATTTTAAAAAGGAAAAGGGCAAGTAAATGAATGTTAATCCTGTGGAGACCAAATCTGGGAAATTAGTGACGGAAAATAAGGAAATGGTGAATAAACCAGATATATTATGTTTGTCATTAATCTACAGGATACAAATAATAATCCAGAAATAAATGTCAATCAGGAAATTAAACACAAAGGAGGAACTTAATACAACTGCACTCAACGGGAAAAGCCAGAAACAACTGGCCAGTCAGCTTACTGTTGGTCACAGAGAAAATTCTGAAATACTGTGGGCAGTTAGAAAATCTCAGTGCAATCAGGCAGAGTCAGCAAGGTTTTGTAAAAGGAAAATCATGTTTGATTGCTTATTTCCTCAAAGAACTCCAATGTGGCTTAAGGGAAACCGGTCACTGTGTATTACTAATATTTTGAGAAGGCATCTGACAAAGGGCCAGATCAAAGGCGCAAACTATGCAAAATAAGCTCATGGCATGGATGGGGTTTTGGTAAAGTGATAGTTTGGATGGAGAATTGTTTCATTAAGAGGCAATAGACAATGGGCATAGATGGCAATATGTGACAAGTCATGTACTACTGGACACTGCTGAAGCCTCAACTGTTTATAATATATATTAATAACTTAAATTAAGGAACAAAGTGTAGTATCTGCTGATAAATTTTCTGATAACACAAAGATATGCACAAAAACAAATTGGACAGGAAATTATGAGTCTGCAAAAGGATATAGACCCGTTAAGTAAGCGGACAAAAATTTAGCAGATGGAGCATTATGTAAGAAAATTTGAACTTGTCCACTTTGACATCAAAAATTAAGAAAAAGCAGCATATTATTTAAAGAGAGGGAACAAAATTCTGAGGTGCAGAGTGATCTGAGTGTCCTGGTACATGAATCTCAAAGTTTGAATGCAGGTGCAGCAAGTAATTAGGAACAGATGAGGAAGACAAATGGAATATGGTTATGGGTGGCACCGTATTTGTTGGTTAGCACTGCTGCCTCACAGCACCAGGGACCCGGGTTCGATTCCACTTTGGGTGACACTCTGTTTGGAGTTTGCATATTCTCCTGGTGTCTGCGTGGATTTCCTCCGGATGCTCCAGTTTCCTCCCACAGTCCAAAGATGTGCAAGTTAGGTGGATTGGCCATGTTAAGTTGCCCATTAGTGTCCAGGGATATGCAGGATAAGTGAGTTAGCCACGGGAAATGCAGGGTTACAGGAGTGTATCAGGGTGGGATGCTCTACGGAGTGTTGGGACTCGAGTGCTGAATGGCTTGATTCCTACATCGTAGGGATTCTACGATTCCTTTTGCAAAGGAATTGTAATATAAAAGATGTGTGCTTCACTACAGCTTGTCACATTAATATAACATGGATAATTGATTTTTTTTTTAATGATTTTGTCCGATTTTAGACCTGGGACTTACATGGAGCAAAATGGTTCATAAAGGAACCAAAAACACTGAACATAGCAATTGCCTGACCAGACAAATGATCGGTTTTCATGAAATTAATGTGATTTAGACAAAAATAACCTGAACTGAAATTAACATTTAATCCAAAAGGAAATAAAACCAGTTGACCTCCTACTACTACCCTTCCCTCTCTACCCCACCATGCCACACCAAGAGACATGATAAGGTCGTTATACTGTACCTAATTTGTATTATTACAAGAATTTTTCACGTTAGCAATGGAGCATCACCCAAAGTCAGGAAATTCACAAACAAGCTAGTATTTCAAGGAGCTGCTTTTGGCAGAGAAAAATAACATTGATTTTTCATCACAGAATTGAAACAAACTAGAAATACCACCCTCCATCACTGCCTCTTAAGAAGAAAAGCCATACAGCTCTGACTGAAAAGAAACTTTAGAAAACTGAAAATTTAAGGCTTTGGCGACCTTCACAACTGCTGACGGTTCCAGAAACCAACTAACCAACCAAGAACTCAGGTTTAATGACGTCTTAATACAATAATACAATTCAATACGGCACAGGACCAAGCCCTTCGGCCCACCAAGCCTGCACCAATTCCTATTCCTTATTTAGATACAGTACTTATTGCACATGCACGGTTTTTATATCTCTGTTCATCTCCTGTTCATGTTTCTATCAAGATATGCCTTAAATGTTGCTAGCGTGCCTGCTTCCACCACCTCCACTGGCAGTGCTTTCCAGGCACCCACCGCCTCTGTGCGAAAATGTTTCCCCGCACTTCTCCCCTGAACTTTCCCCCTCACCTTAAACTGGTGTCCTCTTGTACTTGACCTTTCTATCCTGGGAGAAAGACTCTGACTATCCAATCTATCTGTGCCTCTCACCATTTTGTAAACCTCTATCAGGTCATTCCTCAGCCTCTGTCTTTCTCGTGAAAACAAGCTGATTTTATCCAACTTCTCCTCATAACAAAAACCCTCCAGACCAGGCAACATTCTGGTAAACCTTTTCAGCACCCTCTCCAAAGCATCCACATGGTAGTGTGGCGACCAGAACTGTATGCAATATTCCAAATGTGACCTAACAAAAGTTTTGTACAGCTGTAACGTAACTTGCCAACTTTTATATTCACTGCTCTGGCCAATGAAGGCAAGCATGCTGTATATGTCTTTTTGACCACCTTATCCACCTGTGTTGCAACTTTCAGAGGTCTAAGGACCTGTACACCCAGCTTCCTCCGTATGCCAGTGCTCCTAAGGATTCTGCCATTTATTGTACAATTCACACCTGAATTTTATCTTCCAAAATGCATCATCTCGCATTTGTCCGAATTAAACTCCATCTGCCGTTTCTCTGCCCAAACCTACAATCTGTTCATATCCCATTCTATTGTTTGACAATCCTCATTGCTATCTGCAACTCCGCCAATTTTGGTGTCATCCACAAACTTAGACCACGTACATTTTCCTCCAGATCATTTATATATATAATACAAACAATAAACATCCCAGCACAGATCCCTGCGGAACACCGCTAGTTACTGATCTCCATTCCAAAAAGCACCCTTCCATCAGTACTCTTTGTCTTCTACAACCAAACCAGATTTGTACCTATCTAGCCAACCCACCCCAGATCCCATGAGACTCTACCTTCTGTACCAACCTGCCATGGGTTACCTTATCAAATGCCTTACTGAAGTCCATGTAAACAACATCCACTGCCCTTCCCTCATCAATTATTCTTGTCACCTCCTCAAAAAACTCAAAATTCGTGAGAGATGACCTTCCTTGCACAAACTCATGCTGCCTATTACTAAGAAGTCCATTAGTTTCCAAATGTGAATAAATCCTGTCTCTCATCATCTTCTCCAATAGCTTCCTCACTGCTGATGTCAGGCTCACCAGCCTGAAATTACCTGGATTATCTCTGTTTCTGTTCTTAAACAAAGGAACAACATTGGCAATTCTCCAGTCCTCTGGAACTTCGAATGGGGCCAAGAGGATGCAAAAATATCTGTTAAGGCCCCACCTGTTTCCTCCCTTACCTCCTATAGTGTCCTAGGATAGATTCCATCTGGCCCTGGGGCTTGTCTACTTTAACGTATTTCAAGACACAACACTTCCTCCTTCATTATGTTGACCTGCCCGAGAGAATTCACACATCTTTCCCTAATGTCAGCATCCTTCATGTCCTTCTCTTTGGTGAATACTGATGGAAAGTACTCATTAAGGATTCCCCATTTCCTCTGACTCCACATATAACCTCCCTTCTATATCCTGGAGTAGGCCCACTCTTTCCTCAGGTACCCATTATTCCTAATACATGTACAAAATGCCTTGGGATTCTCCTTAATCCTGCTGGCCAAGGACATGTCATAGCCCCTTTTAGCACTAACTCTCCATTTGTGCTCCTTCCTACTTTTTCTATATTCTTCGAGGACTTGTGTGTTTTTAGTTGCCTAGACCTTAGCTAAGTTTACTTTTTTTTTGACTAAGCTAATAATTTCCCCTGTCATCCAAGGTTCCCGAATCCTGCCATTCCTGTCCTTCATTTTCACAGGAATATGTCTGTCCTGCACTCTAATCAACTTGTCCTTAAAAGACTCCCACATGTCAGATATGGATTTACCGCAAACAGCTGTTCCCAATGCACATTGTCCAATTGTCGCTTAATTCGGTTACAGCTGGCCTTTCCCCAATTTAACACCTTAATTCGAGGTCCACTCGTCCCTATCTGTAAGTGTTTGAAAAATTACAGAATTATGGTCACTATTCCGAAAATACTCCCCCACTGAAACTTTCATCACCTGGCCAGGTTCATTTCCCAATACCAGGTCCAGTATGGCCCCATCTCTTTTTGGACTATCCACATACTGTTGCAAAAAAAAAAAAAACTCTCCTAGACACACCTAACAAATTGCTCCTCATCCAAACTCCCAGCAGTAAGGGAATTCCAGTCAATACGGGAGAAGTTAGAATCAACCACCAAAACAACTCAGTTATTTTCATATCCTTCCACAATCTAACCATATATCTCTTCCTTGATCTTCTGCTGGCAGCTATGAAGTCTACAGTACAATCCCAGCATTGTGAATGCCCTACCCTTCCTATTCCTGGCCTTTACCCATTATGCAACGCTGCAAAATCCCTCCAGGATGTTCTCCCTCAACACAGCTGTGATATACTCCCTAACCAGTAATGCAACTCCTCCAGCTCTTTTGCTTTCTCTTCAATCTCGTCTAAAACATTAACATCCTGGAACATTAAGATGTCAATCCTGTCCCTCTTTCAACCATCAATTCTTTTAACTTCTTTTCATACTAGCCATGTTACCCCTTTGTGTGGACATTCATAATTCTATGGGTGTGTATATAGTTGGGTCTGTGTGCATGTGTCTGTCTGTGAATGTCTGTGTGCATGTTGGTGTCTGTGTGCACACATGCACGTGGATCCTTGTGTGTGGTTGTGTGCATGGTATCTGTGCATCTCTGCAGATGTCTTTCTTTTTGGAGAAGTTGGACAAACACCACTTTCCCTCTGGGAATTGATGTCTCTCCTTCCACTGGGGTTGGGGATGTGGAGTCATTTATTATCAGCAAGGAGGGGTTATCTCTCACTCTGCGGAGATGTGCACCTCTCACTCTATGGAATAATGGTAGCCATGATGTGAAGGTGCTCGTGTTGGACTGGGGTGGACAAAGTCAGAAGTCACACAACACCAGATTATAGTCCAACAGATTTATTTGAAATCACAAACTTTTGGAGCTCTGCTTCAAAGTCTTCACCTGACAAAGGAACGATGCTCCAAAAGTTTTTGATTTTGAATGAACCTGTTGGACTATACCCTGGTGTTGTGTGACTTCTCACTCTGTGGAATGAACGAGAGAGATTACTGAAGCTAGATCTTCCTCCCTGGGGAAAAAAGCTGCGGGATGACCCATAGAGATTTTTAAAATCTCGACAAGGTTTTCCCAGATTGGATACAGATATTGTTTCCTTTTGTTGGAAAGAACATTACTGAAGACCAAAAATGTAAGATAGTCATCACAAAATCCAATAGGGTAATTAAGAACGACGATCTTAACCAAGGAATGCTAAGAATGTGGAACTCACCACTGCATGGAGTGGCTGAAAAAATAAATACAAATGCATTTCAGAGCAAGTTAGACAAGCATAGAAAAGGTAAGAGAATAGCAGATTACAATAATTGGTTTAGGAGAGGAAAAACTGGAAAAGAGTGAAGAGGAGAATAAATGCATTGTATGGACAATTTGGCCAACTAGGCTATTTCAAATCCATATATCCCATTCAATCCTATGAACAGCAAACCCTGCTAACATATTTCAGTTTTAAGCAGCACTAACCACATCACTGTTATTTTTTACCTATACTTGTTCCAAGATCAAATATTTTTGTAGTACTGCCTCAAAGGCTTATTGGAACATTGTGATATCGTGACATACAGAGTAGAGATGATAGTTTCAAAACTGAGTTTGTACTGAGCTAACTGGTCTCAGCTTGGGCTTGACAATTAAGTTCAACAGAGAGGTACAAAGAAGAAATATCAGCTAGGTTTTATGTTCCCAATCATTTTTATTGAGTTCTGCTACAAAGAGTGTGCATATGAATATCAGGTGAGCATAGGACCATTACTTTTGGGGAAGCCACCCCAGACTGGGCAACTCACTGGCAATTGGGCTATGTAGATGGGAACTGGAAACAATTATACTCCAAATCAGGATAAAGCTGTTGAAGGAGCAAGTTGTAAGAAGTATTTCTTGCATTGTATTCAACAGTCATTGCTTGATGCCCTGTCTCACTAACTGACCTTGTGGTGGAATCGGGCTCAAATTCCATTTTGAGGGATAGTTAATTGTTATTTTAAAATCAACACTCAATCTACTTAATGACAGCAACTTCAATATTTTCTTTTATAAAAAGAATGTAGACAGTCTTGAATCATTATGTTTTCAGCTCTACCTTCAGAGGTTAAATGCCTTGTCATTTTCAAAAGTTTCCTCCTTCTGGATTTTCCATGTGATCACCTCCTGTAATTTCATTCCTGTTTCCTGCTCAATGTTCTCCAATCCATTACAAAGCATATGGACTATATTTTATACAGAAAATATAACATTTAACTATACAATGTTGCAAGAATTTCACTTACAGGACTTGGTTGATTCTATTTATCTTTTATCTGCTTTTGAATATTACTTTGAAGAAGTCAAGTTCACAATGCAATCTAGAATAGCAGCAAACATGCTACTCACAAGAAAATGGATTGTCTCCTTCTTCCTCGTCACTATGATCTTCATCCTCTCCATCTGACATCAGCAAGTCTTCATACAACACACTTGCCTGACGCTGTGGTACATTTATCTCATCCTCATCTTCCATTTCACACTCTCCCTCAGTTGTTTCCTGGTAAAGATAACACAGCAAAGTATTTTATGATGTGTTTCATAAATTAAAACAGAAATACATGAACAGGTTAATGAAACATTCAAAGGCTGCAATAAGTTATTACATGCAGAGCATGGTAAAAGTCACTTGCTGGGGCAGGTGTCTTCGGTTTACCATCATCATCTTCCTCAAAACCCTCCACATCCACATCAGATTCCTCCTCACCTGTCCTTATGCGTCCCTCACGGCAATGACCCTGAGAAACAAATATGAGATTTGGAAAGTAAAACAATCATTAAAGAGGAACATGCTTTCTTTCAAAGGAATTTCAAAGCCAGTTAAGTTCTAGGATCAATTCTTGCTCCATGTTGAGTAAGCTAAACTCAACTCAGCTGTAGTGATAATGGCAATGCTATGTTTAACTTCAGTCGGTGAATTGAAAAGAAAACTTAAAAACAAAAGTAATCTTCTGATTTCTATTCAGACTATTGCCAGACAGCATGTGTGTTCAAATACGTGGTAATGAGTGTACGTATGATAAAATTGCTTATCTACACTCCATAAATGTACTTAGAACTGAGGTACACCAAAATGCACAATAATCTGGGAACAATTTTAGTATCTAACAGGTGAACTGTATTGTTGGTATTTTATAGAGCTACCTTCATACAAGCATACCTTTGTGATCTGTGAAAATGTGCTTCAGAACAAATCAGTAGGTTCAGAAAAAGCGGAAAGTCAGTCATACCAGGATCTAGTGCAGACGTTCAGTTTAAGAGGGCTGTCTATCACTACCTCCACTGCCACATAAAGGAGATGTACACAGATATAACATAAGACAGCCTTAACAGATTATACATCAGGATGTTTCATGAATAAAAACAGAATTTTTAGAGTCCCTCCCAAAGCCAAGGAAGAACACTACTGAGTCATTTATTTACTGCCTTTCATAGAATCGTAGAATCCCTACAGTGTGGAAATTGAACCTTCGGCCCAACAAGTCTACACCGACCCTTGGAGCATCCCACCCAAACCCATCCCCCTATAACCCACCTAATCTACACATCCCTGAACTCTACGGGCAATTTAGCATGGCCAATCCACCTAGCCTGCACATCTTTGGACTGTGGGAGGAAACCCACACAGACACGGGGAGAATTTGCAAACTCCACTCAGACAGTCGCCCGAGGGTGGAATCAAACCCGGGTCTCTGGCGCTGTGAGGCAGCAGTGCTAACCACTGAGCCACCGTGCCGCCCACCTGAGCCAACCTGAGGTGCATTTTCTCTGGTGTTGTTGTTGAGGTGGCACTGGCAAACATAATACCTTCCCCTTGAAACAAAGAAAGGTCTCGAGAGGTAAGAAGTGGCATGTTTCCATCTTCAAATTCTTGTGGCTGAAACATCCGTAAAAGTAAGAGAGGCAACTTTTTTTGTATAACTTCTTAAAGCATTCGATTTTCTTTTTTCAGGGCTATGTGAATTGTAAAAAGAGATATATTGCCATATACATATCACCATCAGAGTAAACTGGTTAATATTCTCCAGTGATCTGATCAGCACATTAAGCATACAAACCCTCAGTGTACTTTAATACATATGCCACAAAAATAGAGGTTGTGTTCAATACAGAAGAGGACTTTGAAGTGACAGTGGGATCTGCAGACAAAATATGAAGATCTCCAGACAGAGCACAAGTAACTTTTCCTCAGTTATTAATTTTCCACATTCAGTGAAGACTTGTGCAATGACAGAACAATTTTACCAAACAACCAAGTTGGAATCAATGAAAGCATCTTCTAATTTCCTTCAGAACAGAATGTGGCAGGCAAATTATTATTGATGAATTATTATGCAGATCCTGGGATGACAGGACTGAAGTATGAAGTAGGACTGGATTGGTCAGGAGTATATTCACTGGAGTTTAGACAATTGAGGTAGGATCTCATAGAAACCTATAAAATTCTAACAGAACATGACAGGGTACACACAAGAAAGATGTTCCCAATGACTAGGGAATCCAGAACCAGGAGTCACATTCTAAGGATATGGAATAGACCATTTAAGACCGAGATAAGTGAAATTTATTTATCCAAAAAGAGTATTAAGCCTGTGGAATTCCCTGCCACAGAAAGCGGTTGAGGCCAAAACATTGAAACTTTTCAAAAATGAGATAGATATCGTTCTTAGAGCTTAAGGAATCAAAGGGTATGGGGAGAAAGGAAGAACAGGGTACTGAGTTGGATGATCAACCATGATCATACTGATTGGCGAAGTGGGCTTGATGGGCCAAATGACCTACTGCTACTTTTCTGTGTTTGAAACATTAACCATTACCTCAGCATAACGGTTCCAGACCTTAAATGTTTGGTTAGAAACCCAAGTTCAAACCTAGTTCTCTCTGAAGCTAACACAATATAAGCCCTGTTGTGTACATAATCGAGAAAGAGTCTATCGCGTTCTCAAGGCCACAGATTCAAAGAAACAATTAAGTGAAACCTATAGATGTGATTGAGAAGACAACTCTCTCTCTGGTATTTGAGTACTATAAAGCGATGGGGTTGTGATAGATAGGATTTCATTCTGCCATGAACTTCAAAATCTTCCAAATTCTTTTCTATATAAATAGTTTGATTGGTTCTATTTTATCTTTTTTTTGTATGCAATAAACTTGTTTTATTGTTAAAACCAAATTTGCAGCATTGTATACTTCTGTTTCAGTAAAGGCCACCACAGTAAACTGAAAGAAATGATCTACAAGCCAGCTTTCCGTCTGGGATATCTGATTGTCCAGAGTAACATCAGCTGGAACAATCATTGCAATAAATACCCAATTATCTGCCAAGACATTTAAATTATCAGTTCTTAGAGATTGTACTAATTTTTTTTTCTTATTTATACTTACAACAATTCCTCCAGTTTCATATATCAGTAAGCACTGTTGAACATAATATGTGATTCTCACCACCTTAAACATACTACGATATAGCAGTTTAAATAATACTTTTAATTTTTATTATGTTTAAGTCTGCCCAAGATAGTGGCAGATATGCTACAAATAAAATAAAACATTTTAACTATGTTGTCACTTAAATACAGCTATTTTACTGGCACAATGAGTGGTCTTTATTCCTGCAAACAGCTAGTCAGCACATCAAAATCCAGAGAATAGTGTATTTCAACAATTTACAACATCTACTTCAGAATCCAGTTCAGTTCTGATGAAAGGACACTGATCTGAAGTGTCAGCTCTATATTTTTCTGCACAAATGTTGTCTGATCCAGAATTGCCAGTCTTTTCCTTTTAATATCAGTTAAATCCTATTGAATGTTCTCCTTTAAAAATCCCAAACAAAGGTCAAAACTGATGCAGGGTTTATATCTTCATGCCTCAGACTTTGACCAAAGTAAAAGAATTACAAAAAGAGAGCAGGTGACAACTGTAAGACCAGCTTGGAATGTGAAAACACTACAACGTTCACTAATTTAACTGTGCACATATATATTGTGAAAGCATGAAGGCAGAGTTGAGAGAGATGTCTTATATTTTGACAACAGAAAGAATAGAAAGTATGTAGCGAAACAAGAATTAGGATAACCAAATTGCTTTAGCACCTACCTGAGGAGAATGAGGCCCTGGGGTCAGGGGATCAAGACTGTCAAACTCTGCAGCATCAAGAGCAGCCTCCTTGGCAGATGCAATATCTTTTTCGAGTTGAGTCAAATGTTCATCGTACTTATTTTTTAAGAAAAGAGAAAATCACATTTACTTAATCAAAAATAATTGTAAAGATTATAAGCTGCATCAAATATTTCCACATTAGGCTTACACTTTAGGGGACAAAATATTTTTTCTTTTTTTGAGAGCTCCTCTTGAAATGTTCTTGAGGTCACTTTTTGATGGCTACATTTTCATTTTTGCCAACTCACTTGTTATGTGACAGCATCATCTAACAAGACTACTTTCTGAATGTGTGTTGAAATGCGAGGTATTTGGACTCTCATAAGCCAAATTAGAATAATTCATCAGTAAGAATTATGACCAACTCTTAATAACAATAACCCATAATAATGACCAACTCTCGATTAAACCTTAGCACAACACAGAAATAAAGCATTCATTTCTGAGACACTACTTGCTTAAATTGGTACAAGATAAAAGACATAAATTAACAAAAGTTATTTTTCAAAGTAACCGTTAAACACCTCTATACAAACAATGAAGAGTCATCATTATAAACACACCTTCCACAGACTGAGGTGATGACAGCTAGTGTTTTCATCATACATGCATAAAGCTGAAACATTTTAACCAGGAAGTTACAAGCTATTTACTGCATGTCAGAAATAAATTCAACAATTAAGAGCATTCATTACTATGGGAGTCACTACATTTCCCCCAAAAATTTAGTAGCTCCTCAACTTGACATTCCACATTCAGTTGCAAGGAATTCATTATCTCAGTGCCATGAGGTTCTTAGTATTGCTGTTCTGAATTCCACATGAAATTATGCTTTCATAATCAGATCACAGAGTTTGCAACCTACAAGCAGAATAATAACTTCTCTCTCTGGGGACAATGAGTGAAAATGAAAAGATGATCAGGCTCAGGGAAGATCTGGTTACCAAGAATAAATCTTTTACTGATCATTCCCATATTCATTAAAACAAAAAAAAAAGAGTGAATTTGTAGGCTTTCGCTCCCCCCCTCACTCCAACACCTTTCAGTTCCTTATCCTTTTTTTCTATTCTATTTAGTGGTAGGTTTTCTTCTCTGATTGGTTTCTCTGGAGTGAATTTTGCTGGGTCACTGGGGATTGACAGGGTGAATCCATCCACCATCCTGTGTATTTCAAGTATTGTTACACTTACTACCCGCAAACACTCCACTTAGTCATACAGACTTCGTTCATAGATGAGTTACACCAAAAGCTCAAACTAAAAATACTATTGAATAATAACGTGTTAAGTAAACCATGGGCAGGTCTTTCCACAGCTAAGGTAAATATATTGTTGCTCGAATAAAACTTACGTATATTTATTTCATACTCATCATATCAAACCATGAATTTTAACCATTATGACTTTTGAAATTATATAACCCATGAAATTGAATTAAGGCTGAATGTTTCTGGAATACACAATTAAAATAAAAACTTAAATATCAACAGACTAAGATTAAGAGATTGCATATCAAGTCATATACTTCATGTTAGAAATAAAACTTTATCTCAAATCTCTATCCTACCTTTACAAATGGATCAGGGAGATTATTTCAAGTACAAAGATTAACCATAAAATCATTGTTAAATAACGAGCATTCCACAATCATGGAGAATATATTTGAACAAACAATACTCGCGTAAATTCCTCAGTGCCTAGTGCAGTGGCGAGCAATACAGACTGGGAAAATGGATCTGTATGGATACTGGATCAGAACAAACTAGTTTCAGTTGAATGGCTCTCACATTTGAATTATTTGCCAACATTATCTCAACATAAATATCAGGAATGCCATTTGGGAGAAGTACAGAAGACAAGTACCCACGTGGCTTTGCCTTAGCTGATGCCAGTTCGATATAGAAAACTGAAGTAAATAAAAATCCAGGACACCATCAAATATTCAATTATACGAAAAATGCAACTTGCACAGCAAAATAGAAGACAAGGAGACATGAATTTCTAATACATGCCAGAAAATAACCACAAATCTGCAATACTTTGCCACAACATATGTCTATTTTAAAACTGAGTCAGTAAATGTTCTCACATTTATCACACTCATTTAAAAGTTGTGAATACAAGCACAAATTTAATACAAAGCCCACAAAATATATTTCTACCTCAGCCAGAGTTTGATGACAGACATTCACAATCTCCTGAGCAGTTTTCGTGTATAAACTATCTGTACCTGCAAGTAAAATAAAGTTGTCAAATACAGATACAGCACATTCCGTTAACTTACATAGAAACATTTCCTACTATAGAATGGTTTTCCTTATTGAATTAATTCTGTTAAACTTAAACAAATAGTTTGTATTGATTAAATGATGGACACCATTAGGTTAGTGTCCCACTAGAGATATCATGCCTAATTATTTTTGAAGCTTTAGGTGTAATTTTAGCATTGTTGTTCTGAATTAAACATTGAAATTATGCTTTTATAATCAGATCAAAGAGCTTGCAACTACAAGCAGAGTAATAACCTTTCTCTGTGAATAATGAGTGAAGTGATCACACTCAGTGAAGATCTGGTTTCCAAGAATAATTTTTTTTATTGATCGTTCCCATATTCAGTAAAACAAGAATTTTAAGTGAGCTTGTATGCACAATCATCCACTTCTTTTTATTTTTATATTCAAGATAGAGTGACAAAATCTACATTTTATTCATTCTTGGAACGTGACATTTTTGGCAAAGCCAAACTTACTGACCATCTGTAATTGTCCTTGAAATATAACTTAGTAGCTTTCTAGGGCATTTCTGAAACCAATTCAGAGTCACTACATGGCTGACAGCTTTGAATCACAAAGTCTAAACCAGGTAAGAATATTAGTTTTACTTCTCTAAAAGGACATTGATGACTAAGATGGGCTTTGCGACAATCCTCAAGTCTCATCATGATCATTAATACTAGCTGTTTCCTTTCCAGATTTTATTCAAATATTGAAAATGCATTCCCCAACTACAATGGTGGAATTCGAACTCATGTCCCTTAATCATTAGCCTCTAATTCAGTTACTAATTCAGTGATTTAAATACCGTGCTACCAAACCCACTAATACATAATAATCACTAGATCATAAGAATTTATCCACTTTAGGATTATAGAGTAATTTTGGTCGAATGTGCATTGTGCATTCACCCTTCCTTTCTAGGTGCATCTGTTCTACTTAAATGAACATAAGAGACAAAAATCCTCCTTGACTTTCAAGCACAATTCTGAGCATCCTCTTAGGCTGAATTTATGTTGATTTCAGTAGTACAGCAGAACTTCTAGCTACTAGGGATTGAATCTCTAGACCAGAATTTGAGAAAAACGTGGTAAGAACAACTGATACAAGCATCTGCCTTAGCCAAGCTGGCACATTTGTATTAGGCTTGCCAGTAACTGCCAGACTTTCAAGTCAGAAGTTGATGAATGCAACATGACACTAGACTTTAGATTTCTATGGCCAACCTGATTATCAGGGCAAAACCATATCCCTTTAAAACCAAATTCATAAATAAACAGAATGAGATGACTGAGCTCCACAGAGCTATTATGAGTTTAGAAAAAAAAATGGTACCACCCATGAAGGTCAAGCAGAAGATGGAATAGGTTGAATTCGCATAGTTTCTCTAATTTCCTGTCAACAAGATCAGATTGCTATCGATCGCAAAACCAGACAAGATTCTGAGTTTGGGTAGCAGGCTGGTTAGGCGTAGGCTTTACAACCGAGTTAAGAGTTCAGCTTATGTGGAGATCAGACCTATGATTCTGAGACCTTTCTCCAACTCTCATGAAATATTTCACTGAGATAGTTCTTCAACTGGTTCTCTTTAGGGTTATGATTCTGAGACAGAAATAGAGACATATTTTTCCTTTTACCGCCTTATTCCACCTGCTTGTTCCAAATGCCCACAGCTTCCTAGTCTGTGACAAAAACAATAACCAAAAGTTCAGAGGCTGTTGCAAGGCAACCTTGAGCACTAAGACCCAAAACTATGGTCATAAAGCAATCTGTTATTCCTCTCGAAAACTTTTCACCCAAGGTCACAACTTTTTTTGTAAACAGCAGACCATCTGACATTTTTGGAGTGTCCAGTAGTCATGGCCAAGAGGTTAAAGTGATAGATTTAAAATCAATTGGGATCCCCCCGCACAGGTTCGAACCCCACCACCCTATGTTTCTGGGTGACACGGTTACTCAGTGGTTAGCACTGCTGCCTCAGAGCGCCAGAGACCTGTGTTTGATACCACCTCGGATGACTGTCTTTGTGGAATTTGCACATTCTCCCCATGTTTGCATGGGTTGCATCCGGCTGCTCCGGTTTCCTCCCACCGTACAAAGATGTGCGGTTTAGGTGGATTGGCCATGCTAAATTGCCCATGTTGTCTAGGAATGTGCTGACTAGGTGGATTAGCCATGGGAAATGCAGGGTTTAAGGGAAAGGGTAGGGGGGTGGGTCTGGGTGGGATGCTCTCTGGACCTTCAGTATGAACTCAATGGGCTGAATGGCCTGCTTCCACACTGCAGGGATTCTATGATTATGCTCCTAAAAGTTACATAGCAAATCCTTTACAACCCAGGAAATGTTCAAATTCTCATTTTACAATTCTCATAATCCATAAACATATATATGTTCTCAACAATTGTAATCTACCCAAAAATGCTGTCACCATTGATATCCTTTGTGCTAAAGGAACCTATTTTGATTTGTGTCTATCAACCTGATCTCAATGGGAGTAATCTTGCCTGAGACTGAAGGCTGCGGGGTCAGATATAGAAACACAGAAGTAGCAGTAAAGCATGTGGCCTTCAAGCCTGCTCCCCTATGTAATATGATTATAGCTGATCATCCAACTCTGTATCCTAGTCCTCTGATCCCTTTAGTTCTAAGAACATCCTCCTTGAAAATCTTCAATGTTTTGGCCTCAACAGTTTCCTCTGGCAGAGCATTTCACAGGCTCTCACTGTTTGGATGAAGGAATTCCTCCTCATTGCTGTCCTAAAAGGTCTACCCCTGTATTTTTAGACTGCGACCCCAGATTCTGAACACCCCATTCATCGAGAACATGTTTCCTGCATCTACACTTTCTGATTCTGCGAGAATTTTATAGATTTATATGATCCCCACTGCCCCTATTCTTCTAAATTCCAATGAATATAGTTCTAACTGATTCAACCTCTCCTCATATCAGTCCTGCCATCCTCGGAATCAGTATGATAAACCTTTCTTTGCACTCCCTCCTTAGTCAGAATATCCTTCCTCAGATGAGGAGACCAAAACTGGACACAATAGTCCAGGTATGGTCTTACAAATGCACCAAATTAGTTGCAGCAAGGCATCCCTGCCTCTCGCAATGAAGGCCAAGGTATGATTTGCATGCAGCACCTGCATGCTTACTTTCAGTGACTAATGTGGAAGGACACCCAAGATCTCTTTGCATCTTGCTGCTTCCCAATCTATTACAATTCAGATAAAAATCTTTTGTTGTTTTGTTATCAATTTGGCTAACCTCATATTTATCCACATTATACTGAATCTGCTATGCATTTGCCAACTCATTCAACTTGTCCAAATTGCACTGAAGCTTCTTTGCATCCTCCTCACATCCTAGCCAGCTTTGTGTCATCTACAAACATGCAGCATAACATACTTTCCTCATCAAAATCATTCATATACATTATGAATGGCTAGGGACCAAGCACTGACCCCGGGATGTTAGCTGTGCAAGACCCCTTGGGGAACAGCGACCATAACATAATACAATTTTTTATCAAGATGGAGAGTGAGGTTGTTGATTCGGAGACAAGGGTGCTGAACCTTAATAAAGGAAACTACGAGGATATGAGGCATAAGTTGGCCTTGATAGATTGGGGAGAGTTACTTAAAGGGATGACAGTGGATAGGCAATGACAAACATTCAAGGAATGCATGGGGAACTGCAACAACTGTTTATTCCTGTCTGTCACAAAAGCAAAATGGATGAGGGCCAACCATGGCTTACAAAGGAAATAAGAGATAGTATCCGACCCAAGGAAGAAGCATACAGATTGGCCAAGAAAAATAACAAATCTGAGGATTGGGAGTAGTTTAGAATTCAAAGAAGGACCAAGGGATTGATTAAGGAGGGGAAAATAGAATACGAAAGTAAGCTTGCAGGGAACATAAAGACTAAGCTAAGGTACGTGAAGAGAAAGAGATTGGTAAAGACAAATGCGGGTCCCCTATAGACAGAAACGGGGGAATGTATAACAGGGGACAAAGAAATGGCTGAGGAACTGAATACATATTTTGGTTCTGTCTTCACAAAAGAGGACACAAATCAGATACCAGAATCGTTGGAGGATGCAAGATTTTGTGAGAGAGAAGAACTGAGGAAGATCAATATTAGTAGAGAAATGGTGCTGGGAAAATTGTTGGGATTGAAGACCGAAAAATCCCCAGGGCCTGATAATCTACATCCCAGAGTATTTAAGGAAGTAGCTCTAGAAATTGATGGTCATCTTCCAGGATTCTATAGACTCTGGAACAGTCCCTGCAGATTGGAGGGTGCCTAATGTCAGTCAATATTCATGAAGGGAGGTAGAGAGAAAACAGGGAATTATAGACCGGTGAGCTTAACATTGGTAGTGGGGAAAATTCTCGAATCCATTGTCAAGGATTTTACAGCAGAGCATTTAGAAAGCAGTGGCAGGATCAGACAGAGTCAGCATGGATTTATGAAGGGAAAATTATGCTTGACAAATCTGTTGGAATTCTATGAAGATGTAACTAGTAGCATTGACAAGGGGGAACCAGTCGATGTAGTATATTTGGACTTTCATAAAGCATTTGACAAAGTCCCACGTAAGAGATTAATGTGCAAGATTAAAGAACATGGGATTGGGGGACATGTATTGAGGTGGACAGGAAACTGGTTGGCATAGAGGAAACAAAGAAGGAATTAATGGGCCCTTTTCAAATTGGCAGGCAGCAACTAGTGGGGTGGCATTGGGATTGGTGCTGGGACCCCAGATATTCATAACATATATTAACGATTTGGATGAGAGAATAAAATATAACATCTCCAAGTTTGCAGATAATACCAAGTTGGGTGGGAGGGTGAACCATGACGACGATGCAGAGATCCTTCAGCATGAGGGAGGGGTGAGTTGGGCGAGTGGGCAAATCAATGGCAGATGCAGTATAATTTGGATAAATGTGAGGTTATTCACTTTGGAAGAAAAAACAAGAAGGCAGATTACTACCTGAATGGCTGTAAATTGGGAGAGGGGAGTGTGCAGCGGGACCTGGGTGTCCTTGTGCACCAGTTGCTGAAGGTAAGCACGCAGGCAGTAAAGAAGGCAAATGGTATGTTGGCCTTCATTGTGACAGGTTTTGAGTAGAAGAGCAGGGATGTGTTGTTGCAGTTGTATAGGACCTTGGTGAGACCACACCTGGAATATTTGGTGCAGTTTTGGTATTGTTTTCTGAGGAAGGATGCTCTAGCTGTTGAAGGAGTGCAGCTAAGGTTTACCAGGCTGGTTCTGGGGATGGTGGGTCTGACGTATGAGGAGAAATTGACTAGGCTGGGATTGTTTTCACTAGAGTTCAGACGAATGAGGAGGGATCTCATTTAGAATTTTACAAGTCTCTCAGGACTGGACAGGGTAGATGCAGGGGGGAATATTCCCAATGGTGGGTGTGTCCAGAACCAGCAGTCACAGTATGAGGTTTTGGGGTAGACGATTTAGGATGGAGAGGAGGATATTTCTTCACCCAAAGAGCGGTGAGACGGTGGAATTCATTACCACAGGAAGTAGTTGATGCCAAAACATTGAATGTATTCAAGAAGCGACTAGATATAGCACTTGGGGCAAATGGGATCAAAAGTTATGGGGAAAAAGCAGAATTAGGCTATTGAGTTGGATGATCAGCCATGATCATGAAGAATGGTGGAGCAGGTCAAAGGGTCAAATGGCCTCCTTCTGCTCCTATCTTCTATGTTTCTATGCTAGTCACTATCTGCCACTCAGAGAAAAAAAAAATTTATTCCTATGAGATAACATGGTGTAGAGCTGGATGAACACAGCAGGCCAAGCAGCATCAGAGGAGCAGGAAAGCTGACGTTTCGGGTCTGGACCCTTCTTCTGAAAAGGAACTTCTTCACTCAGAGGGTGGTGAATGTTTGGAGTTTTCTACCCTTGAAACAAAATTAGAAATTGCTGGAAAAAACTCAGCACGTCAGGCAGCATCTGTGGAGAGAAAGCAGATTTAATGTTTTGGGTCCAGTGACCCTTCTCCAGAACTGAATCACTGCCTGACCTACTTAGTTTTTCCAGCAATTTCTGAATTTGTTTCTGATTTCCAGCATCCCAGTTCTTTGATTATTTTTTGTTGTGGAAGCTCACTGTGCATGTTCATGAAAAAAAAAACAGATTTCTAGAGGCCAATAATATCAAGGGATAAGGAGAAAGTGAGGCTAAGTGGTATTAAAGTAGATAATTAACTATGATCTAACTGAATGGTAGAGCAGGTTCAACATCCTACTCCTATTCCTCTGCTCAGTCAGGAGCAACTTTAATAACATTACCAGTACCATCCATTTCTAGACAATTTATGACTAGATTAAATTAATGGGGACATACTATAAATTAACACGAGAAACAAATCAAATATAACTTCTCTCAATCTGTGACACCACTTTAGTTATTTCAATATTTTATTTTGAAAGACTGCAATTGTTCTAGCTAAACATTAGGCTTCTCAATTCAGGGTGATCATTTATGAGTGTGTATAAATTTTTGTGTGTATGAATTGTTAATAAGCCCAAAGAAGAGTTCTCCCTTTGCAAAGCAAGCTAGTTTGAAAATACCAATTTTCCTTTCCAAAGTGGTGTTTAATTTTAAATCATTTGTAGATCCCATTCATTATGGTAGAGAACTATGAGGAATATTTGACAGAAATTATCAAGAAAGTTTGAGAAACATTCCATTGTTACTCCTTTCTATGTCCACTTTTCTGTTCATAATCACATTTCCTACATATCAATAAGGTAAACATTTTTTTTTCCTGGCTGGTATCCTTCAAATTTCCTGGAGAGCGGAAAATAATAAAGATTATACTTGAACACTATTTTCTACTGACATTCTTTATAACTGATGTTTATATTTCTCTTTCTTCTCACTCCCTCCTCTCAGTCTAAAACATTTTCACTCATTCCAGGGCCCAACTACCTATAGTCTGACTTATACAGGGGAGTGTAAGGGTTGCACTCACTAAATTAAAAGAAAACACTGATCACTGATAACATATGCTGTAATGGAACTGTGGTAAGAAGGCAAGTTATGGGTTTACCATTGTACTTGATGCTGTTAGAGAGAATAAGTTCCACATCCTGCAGGAAGACTTCACGATTATGGTATTTGTGTTTGGAAATATTCTGCAGTACCAGAGAAAATGTGCAATTTTAGTAATCTATTATAGAATTGACAAGTAAATACAGAAACTCCATATACCTACTCTTCAGGTCTTTAGGTTCATTTTCATACCTTCCTCACAGTTTCAAGATCCATGGGATTTGTGATTACTTTGTAATAATCAGGAACAAACTTCTTATTAACTGGATGATGGAAAGGCCAAGACTGACAGAAAGAAGAAAGGAAGAGTGTTAAGAAGAGACATCCAAACATATTCCTCAATTTAGTTTGCATTAGAAATTTACAGCAGACAGAGCGAGTCCAACTTACATCTTGCACAGCCATCATCTTTTGAGTGACTATATTATCAAGTATAAATGAGAAAGCAACTTGATCGTCATCATCCAGAAGAGGATTAATGGCTTTCTCCAAGCGGACCAATTTGTCTTCTTTCTAATAAAAGCAAATAAAATCTTGAAACTTACTGTAGTTAAAAATGAACCCTACGCTACAAAATCAATCATTTATAAATCCATAAAATAAAATCTTAAACCATAAGATTGATGGTTTTTCCTTCATTGACAGAAGCCACAATGCAAGTTGAAATGAAAATAGGGCCACGAAACAGGCTCACCCAATGTTAATCAACGACAGGTGCTGGTCTCAGAAACCAGCATAAAAGACAGACTGACAATAATGAGAAAATGACTAGCAGAGGTACCATCATTTAAATGCAAAGTTAAACAAGCTTGCCCTCACAAGTTGACAATGCTCGAAGAGTTTCCCCAGTGTCCAGGTCAATATTTATCCTCAACCAATACTTGAACGACAGATTATCTGAGTGTAACTGATTGCTTTTATGGGATCTTGCTGTGCACAAATTTGGTGGAGTGTGCAAAAGAGGGATTATTTAATTTTCGCAGTATCTGAGTATATTTTGGCCAGTTCAACTCATTCATTGTAAAGGGCAGATTTTACAATGACTTCCATACGCTCACAAGGTTCTCACGAATGGCACATCAAAACATCTTCAAGTGACAATGACTATGCAATAAACAAAAACAATCCTACACAAAACAGATTAACAAACAGTTTTTATTTTACAAATATTTAGTTAAGATTTTACTGTGTCTTACTATATGATTCTGTTGTTTTATACACAAATATGAGAAACCAGAGATGATAGACTGCAATGGGAAGCAGATAGCCAGTTGATACAGAATGAGTTATTATTCACCTCTCTGAACTTTTGGTCACAGAGTTCCACCATACTTTGAGCAATTTGAGTCAGAGGATGCTTCGTACCTGGAGAGAGGCAAACAGGCACTCAGTACAGTCACTTACATATTACTTCAGTGACAATGCATCTACCTGCTTACAACATGTGATTATGCTTTCATTATTCTCACACACAATCACCAGTTCACAATTTCCGGCTTCCAAATTATTCCAAACTCCTTTTGTTCAACCAGATGGAGCTCAGCGCTCAAACTGCTACAGCACAGAAACTGGCCATTTTTTTCTCCACATAAGTAATGTAGCCTCAACACATTCTGCTTCTTAAGACTCGTGTCATTTAAGTTTCCTTCCTTTTGAATAACTATTTGAACATCCGTTTAAAAAAAACATTGACTACATTTTAGTACTTGTGCAATAAAAACACTCTGCTATAAAAGACATGTACCCTCACATTACTAAAATATTATCTTCTTGAAAAAATCATCCTGATTTGCATTTCAGAACCAGATCAGATACGGAAAAAGGAAAAACAATTATTTTTAACCTTAGAATCCTTCATAATCTTTAAGATTTAATTTCATTCTAATAAAGAATGCCCAAACTGCATGAAACTATAAATTTCTCTTAACTAATCTCTTGTCCATGCAATGCCCTTGGAAAATGTAAGCTGCAGCCTTTCTATGGCTTTTGTAAACTTTCTGTAATCAAGTGTTCAAAAATATGGCAATTAATTCCAATAACACCTAATGAAAGAAGACCACACTTTTATTTCTATGCTTCTGGACACAAAATCAAGACCTCAATTTGTCAGTTTATGATCTTATCTTCTCATGTTGTCACTTATACTAACTTGTTTATCTTTCAGTAAAGTATGAGCACACAATGCTGCAGGTTTGAATTTAACACAAACAGAAGTTTAAAATGCAAAATTCATAAAGATAAATAAATCAAACTATTTACATACAGCAAACGTTTGCATATAAACACATGGTAAAAATATCTCATTTGCAGCAGCAACAATAAACATTCTCAGCTTCTATGTTCTATTAGCCAGAGACGTTTTCCCAGGGCGGAAATGACTACTACGAGGGGGCATAATTTTAAGGTGATTGGAGAAAGGTATAGGGGAGATGTCAGAGGTAGGTTCCTTACAGAGAGTGGTGGGTGCGTGGAATGCGCTGCCAGCGGTGGTAGTGGAGTCAGATACATTTGGGACATTAAAGCGACTCTTGGATAGGCACATGGATGATAGTAAAATGTAGGGTATGCTGGGTAGTTTGATCTTAGAGTAGGATAATAGGTCAGCACAACATCATGGGCCAAAGGGCCTGTACTGTGCTGTACCATTCTATGTTCTATGTTTAACAGCATCCCATTACAGTACTGAAGCAGAGAGAATGCCCTTCTCTATCCCACACAGGGTTTGACTTTGTTGTGACTTCAATTCTCCATCATAATATCCTGATAGCCTCTTTCTTGATTTATTATATAACCAAGATTAAACATTCTCAGCTTCAAATAACTCTTTCAGGGTATTAACCAAATTTTTCTCGACTGAAACTTTTACAAAACCCATTGTTCTGAGTTAACTTATTTTTAACAATTCTAAACAATTTCTTCTTTCCTCAAGAACAAATGTTTTAGACATCCAACTACAGCCACAACTTCTGCAGAACTGTCCAAATTGAAACTTACAAAATACCATCTTATTTCCAAGGAATGGGTGTATCGACTAAGTCCTGAAAAATTCTAGAATCTTCTACCTCAAAGCTTAATGCACTGTACAATTTACTTTTTTCACTCCAGCTATCCTAAAGTAAACATATTCCCATTAGCCTTCACAACAACTTTTCTTATTTATAAGACAGCACTATGGCTACAGAAATACTTGCAAATTAATCATTAAACTCATAATTCACTAGCTCAAAATTCAAAAACATAAACTAAAGAACAAATTAAATTAAAATATATATAAATCACACTTTATATCACAAAATAAATATCAATGATCACAAAGAAATATCTTGCAGCACATACCATTGTAGGTGGCACAGTTTTTAACAATAAGTTCAACTTGCTCTCGGAATTCTTCTCGTGAATGGCACATCCGTTTCCGGACATTCTCTCTTAAAGTCTGCAAATCCATTGGTTTAGTAATAATTTTATAATAATCCTTCACAACTTTCCCATTTACTGGAGTGTGGAATGGATAGGTCTAGAGAGAAATGAGAAGTTAAAATGGAAGGTCAATTCTCTCACAAAGTAAACAATGTAGTAGAAAAATGGAACTGAATTATAGGAAATAACAGGAATAAGAATAATACAAAGGCATATGTTTCCAGCACACTCACCAATGGACGTAATCCCTACAGAATCAAGAGGTTCTATTTTATAGTGAATGTGCACTATTCAAATTGAATGACTATTTGGTGCTATGAGCACACATTGATAAATAACTAGATAGCGATTTCCCCTTTTTTTAAAATCACACCCATAAAGCTACAAAAGAGTTTAATCCACATATTTCAACGTGGGTTCAAGAAGAAATAAATAAACATGCTAATCTGCCGGCTCACTCAGTCTCACACTTCACTTTTCTAATTGTTACTACTTCCTTCTCCAAGGCCTTATAATCAAATGAAATCTATGAACTCTTACATTTACAAGGTCTCGCATGTCATTGATGATTCCTTCCAATATGGATGACAAGGTAACCATCGGGTCTGTCCGTCGCCTATGAATGGATTTGTGAGGTTTCTATTCGGAGAGAAAGAAAACTGAAATGAACAATTTTGTAGTATCAAGAGTTCTGATACTAAAATAACCTTACCACTTTTTCTACACAACCGTTTGATCTTAACTGAATTACTGACTCCAGTCTATAAAAACACCTTCCCAAAAATCTGACAGTGGATGAGTGTAATGAACTTAGGCATTTATTACCCTTCCAGACTGTTCTTCAAACTGATATTAGTATCGTTTTGATTTTATGCTTTTTGTCAAAACCTTTATCCTACCACCAAAATCACCTCTATCCATCTCTGCAGAATTGCCTGACTTGATCTAAATCTCACCGCCATACTTTTACCAGCTTTGAGTTCAAATTCTCAAACTATGATCAGTGGCCTTTCATGTAAGAAGTCTCTTAACTTATTACTGCTTCAATACAGTTTCAAAGATCTCTTGTTCCTTCGACATCAACTATGTTGACGTTTCGGTTCAGGACCCTTTTTCAGAAACGGATCCCGACCCGGAACGTCAACTTTCCTACTCCTCTGATGCTGCCTGGCCTGCTGTGTTCCTCCAGCTCCCCACTGTATTATCACTGACTCCAGCATCTGCAGTTCTTGCTATCTCTGATGCTAACCGTTTGCTAGGTATATTCATATTTAGAAATGTGATTTCCTGCACTTTTTATTTAAAGATTTCAACATATAAATTGTGAAGAACAATAGGATATTGATGAAATATTGTAGAATTTCTGATGGAATTTAAATCATACCAGTAATTGTTCTAAGCCTGCTGCAAGCCTTAATAATTCAGTCTGCTGTTTTAGATTTAGTTGAGCTAGCAATAGGCAGTACTTCAGGAAATAGTATAACTAAACATATTTCATATTTCTACCCTCCTTTATTCAAGTCAAAACACTAACTTTGTTTCTCTTTCCAGAAATGCTTTCAGAACTGCCGAGTACTTCCAGCATTTTATATTTATATATTTTTTAAATTAAAAAAAAGCTTACATTTAGGTAATCGCAATGGACTGTGGTTCCAACTCGTCTTCGACGTTTTGGAGGAAGCTGCTGTTTAGGAAATTTGAGGACCAAAGATTTCCTGCGTACTTCATCTGCACTAAAATACCAAAAATCAGAACATTTAGTGTAAAAAAAAAATTAAAAATCACAGAAAAGTTAGAGCCAGAGTATACATTAGCAATTCAATGCATAAATCATTATGGCACATTTGAGATATCAGAAGTGATTTTGGTAATGCACAGTGAAAAGGGGAGTCTGAAATGAATGGTCCTGTAAGGCGTCATCTCCTTTCCTCTGTTACTTTAGTTTTATACAAGCAGTTAAGGAGGTGACTCTATGAAGGGAAATCATCAAAAGGCAACAGAACAACTGCATAAAATTGACTAATATTTTTTATAATTAAGGAATGGGTATAGAATGGTTGATTCTCAAATTAGCAAGGTCAGTGCATTGCAATCAGGGACTTGATTGTTTGAAGTGAAAAGTGCCAGTTAAAAGAAAATTAAGTCAGAATTTGTAAAATAATGCAGAGCAACTTTTGAAAGCTTGAATCATGTTACATTTTATATTTCTGAATTGATGTTGTCATTCATAGCTTGCTAATTGAATAATGTTTATAGTTTATGTCTTCTAATTCCCTCATGTCTAAGCATGTTCCTAGAGCTTTGCTGCAGCCCATGACCATTCCCAACCAATTATCCAGCAAAATGCAAGCTCCCTTCATTCAGTACAGAAAGAGGAGTGTACGTTCATACCATTCCTCTTGAATGCTTTGTGTTTTTAAACTGGTGTCTATTATAAGAAATGTAGAGACAATTTGCAAAAAATTAGCACAATTGCTAGGTTTCCTGGTGGGTCTGAGAATTAGAATTTCATTGGTTTTATTGCTGAGTTTCTGGTACCAATAAAAGACATAATATCCTGTTGGGTCAGCTGGTTACAGTAGTGAAAAGTTGTGTTGAACACTCCCAGCCCTTGTTGAGTTAGATGGTATTAGTGACAGCACTGTATTCCAGTTAGGTAAAGGAAAATTGACCACGTTTCTAAGGCTTAGTGCTGTTCAATAGCTCTGCTCATGTGAAGTTTAAGTGGACGGAAAGGATCTGTGGAATGGATCAGCTGGACTGTGACACCTCACTGTGAACAAGCAGTCTGCCAACATTTCAGGGTTGAATTTCTATGCACATTTTCCCAAATGTTATTTCATCCAAAAATCCATGGCAGTTCCTGAAATACTGGAAGAAACATGGTTGGTGATTAAGAGAATCCCTGCTATAAATGCAAATCTTGTAATGCCCAGTTTCACACATGCAGATTGGGCTCATGGTGAGTTCCCAGTGGACAACAAACACCATGGGCTGTATTAGCTTAACAAGTCAGGGCTTTCAGTAGTTAAAGCAAAAGAACTGACTGAATAAAGGAATAAGACCATTTTCTTTGGAATTATGAAATGTCCTAGTTTACTTTCCTGGACCCATACCTATTACTCAGTGTAATTTCCTGAAGCTGATAAGCTGCCTGCCATTGAATCATGATGGTGGTAGATGTTTGGAATACTGTCCTTGACAGACTTTAGGAAATTAGCTCTGGATAAAGTATTAGTTATACTACTCCTCATTTAACAGGTGATGGAGCAATGTAATGCAACAGGATCAAATTTGCAATAGTATATTACCTCTTCCATCTAGACTTATAAGCTCCAGTTCCTTTAGCATTCATGTTAGTTTATCTCAACTCTCTACTATGTCGGTCAAACGTTTGACCTGGTCTGTTAATTCAGTGGTTAGCTTCAATTTTTCAGTGCTATTTAGATGATTAATCTATTGTCAATTTGTTCCATTTCAATCTGCTTCACGTATAACAGAATGACTAATTTAAAATTATTCTGAGAGATTTTAACCTCAAGAAGAGTTTATGTCTGGTACTTCTGCCCTTGATTTTGCATCTGGCCTCAAAATAAATGCAGGAAACAACTGCGCGCGCAGGAGTATCACATTGTTTGTTAAAAAAATTCTACTGTTACAACTTCAACTGAGATTCAACAGAAATTGACACGAGATGAGACGATTGTTCATGTTATGGAAAACATCGGTCTCGTTTTGTCGCCAACTACTCAGTGATCAATCATTGCTTATTTAATAAATAAAGCTTACAGTGCTGGCAGACTGTTAGATTGTTTCAAAGCTTTGACCTTTACTTGAGAAGGCTATCTGCTTGTTTATATAGACATTAAAAATCTCACAGCATGTGTTAAAGCAGGTAAGTCCTTCAAGTGGCAGGACATATTTTTATTCACTTAAAACCAGGCTCCTGCGTGCTCTCTCTCTCTCTCGCTCTCGCTCTCCCCCTCCCCCTCCCCTCCACAAATAAACAACTGAATTGATGGTGCAGATTAATTAAAAATTTGGGGGATTTTCTGTGTGCAAAATGATTGTTACATTACAACAGCAGTTGCTTTGGTAATTATTTCTGATTGAAGCACTTTCGGATGTTTCTTAGAGAGGTGAAGTAGTGTTAAACAAGTCTAAAACATACTGAATTGTGCGATGCAGCTTTTAAAAAGGTACATTGATCAAATACATTTTCACATTTGCGCTGCAATATGATGAATTGTCTCAAAGTGTTTCAGTTACTTAAGTGTATTTGGTCATTCTGCAGTTACCAATCAAATAGTAACTTTATTGAGGTATAAACTTGTCTTAGGTGGCAGAGATATTGAATGGCCACCTTTTTCACACTCTGAGTTTCTTCACCACTGAGCCCAATGAAGTATAAAATTGAGCACCATTTGTCGTCCCTTATTTTGCAGCATTGGGCAAGACAAATTTGTAGCCTATAGTGTTCAAAAAGAAATATGCAACAAAAAATGAAAAGTATTTGTTATCTTTGCCTTGTGTTTATTTTAAACTGTAATTGTTGTCCCTGGAATACATAGAACATAGAACAGTACAGCACAGTACACGCCCTTTGGCGCACGATGTTGCACCAACCTATTATCCTACTCGAAGATCAAAACGAACCTGTATACCCTTCATTTTACTGTCAACCATGTGCCTATCCAAGAGTCGCTTAAACGTCCCTAATATATCTGACTCTACTACCACCACCTGCAGTGCATTCCATGCACCCACCATTCTCTGTGTAAAGAAACTATCTCTGGGCATTGGATAAACTCTCTAGACTTCAAACTCAACAGGCACCAGGATCAAATGAAGGAGAGAAGTGAGTTGGAAAATTTCAGAATCACTATCCATAATTTTCCCATCCTTCTTAGACTGGTGGTAACTGAAAAGTGGAAAATTGCAAATATTTTTCCTCTGTTCAAAAAAACAGTTCAGGTCAGGAATATTTGTATGTCCAAAAACAGAGAAGACCTAAAACTGAAGGCCTTTTCAAAAGCAGAACAAAATGGACACGCAGAGATGCAGAGTTCTGGTAAATCATGTGCAACTAATAGAGAGGGTTAATAAGAGGAATGCTGTTGGTGTGGTATACATAGACATCCAAAAGCCACATAACAGAATTGCGAGAAAAGTTCAAATTTGTGGAATAAAAGAGACAGTAGTAATATCGATACAAAACTGGCTGATTGATAGGAAATTCAGTAGTGACTCACAGTGGTTTTTCAGACTGGAGGGAAGATTTATAGTGGAGTTCCCCAGGAATCTGCATTATGACTCCTGCTCTTCCAGGTACATATCAATTCTAGATCGTGGTATGCTAAGCACAATGTCAAAATTTGGAAGTAATGAGGAGGATAGTGTAGAACCTCAAAGGACATTGAGAGGTTTGCATAATGGGCAGGCAAATGGGTAAATTTTAATGTAGAAAAATGTGAAATAATTTGCTCTGTAGAAAAAAAGCAGAGACAATATTAAGTAAAGGTTACAATTCTAAAAGGGGGGGGTGGTTGCAGGAGCAGTGGGTTTTGAGTATCATTGAAGGTGTATAACTTGGGACAGCAGTTATTAAAGTATATGATAACTTGGCCTTTAGTAATAGGGGTATGGAACAAAAGCAAAGACATTAAGTTAAACTGTGTTTAAAGCATCCGGCTGGCGTATTAGATTTAGTTCTGGGCACCACAGTTTAGGAAGGATGTGAACCCATAAGAGGTAATTCAGAAAAGTATTACAAGAATGGCTCAAGAGATGAGAAATGTCAGTGAACAATAGCAGAGTTCAGATATAGTTTATCTTGCTGGCATAGCAGAAAGCCATGAAGTGCTACGGCTTAGGTAGAAAAGGTGGGGGAAAAGAGTTGATCCAGAAACAGGAGCAACAAAGGTGATAGCAGAGATTGGAAGGCAACAAGGACAGCCAAGTTCAACACATGAGGAGAGGGACGAACAAGCCAAAGGAGGAGATAGCAAAGCAGAGACCAAGGAACACAGCTGGAGGCTAGCCAGAGACCCTTTCTCTTTTTCTTCTCTATAAGGTAGAAGAGTATAACCATCCTTAATGTCATTACAGTGAAGTGTCACTGAGGCATTACCACAACTATTTAAACATCACAATCACTGAAATATTTCCATAAGATATTTGAATGGAATATACACAGATATTCACAATATTTTGAAAATGTTTATCTATAAAGTGCTCACCATTCTTCAAGCATCATACACTATTTTATGAATAATTCCCTACCCTAGATCAGAATAGAAGAAGCACAATTAAGAGCTGTCTTCTGCAATGTACAGAAAATGTTTCTGGCCTTCTCACTAATAATGCTGATCCCTAACCTGAATAGCAAATTAACTTGAAATAAACAAATCTAATATACATTTTACAAATGGATCTTGAAGTTCCAAAAGGATACAGCTGAACGTTGGTATCAATAAACTATTTTAATCAATATGTTCTGTCCTCAAAAGTAATGCACAGTCAGATGTACTAAGGCAACAGCATGTTGCGTTTACTTATGATAAAAATGCTACATCTGTTTCACATTTTTTATTCAACAACTCTCAGCCTTATATAAAAATATGATCAAAGACTCACTTGGAGCATACATAAAAAAGCTCCTAGTCACGGAAAAAGCCAGAGTCAGAAAATGAACAGTCTTTTAATTGGCATTAAACAACCACAATTCAAGTAGTACAAATAAAACAAAGAAACTAATCTATAGCTGCAACTGCAATTAAACTCGTGAATGAAAGAAATCTGGTCATCGATCTCTCGCTATAAATTCTGTGCCTGCGTGGTTCACTCTCACTTCACCTGACCAAGGGGCAACGCTCTAAAAGCTTGTGATTTCAAATAAACTTGTTGGATTATGACTGGGTTTCACCTGACTTCTGACATTGTCCTCCCCAGTCCACAGCGGCACCTCCACATCATAACTAGAAAGGTGGTTGGCATGTATTCAGAGGATTTAGCAATGCCAAACACACAGATTAGGCAGTACAGTAGTGGGGAGATTGATTCTGGGAGTACCTCAGAGGTCAAGAAATAATGGAACTGTGGTCCTGAGATTTCTTTTGAAGAATGAGAGTGGATTGCAGAAGTCCAGGAATGCAAATGATTTGGGTTTTATTCAATATTTAGAACAGGTCGAATGTTATCAGAGATCTGACAAGATTAAAAAAGGTACTCATGTTTACACACGTCAATGTCCAAAACTATGTGAAGATAGTGGAGGAGAGAATAAAAATATCAGATTGCATCTAGTACCATTTGAGGAGGAACAGGCTGGACCCAAACGTACTGACAGGTATGAAGCCAGGAAATCCTGGAGAAATTCCCTTAAATTTCTTTTCCTGGTCATTGATCCCTCTAATGGAAATAGGTTCCTCCTATAACTGTATCTCAGCCTCATAATTTTACACATCTCTACAGAATCTCCCCTCAGTCTTTTCTGTCCCAAAGAAAACAACTGTATTGTATCCAACCTTGCTCCAAATCAACATGCTTATGAATCTCTTCTGTATCTTCTCCAATGTGACCACATCCTTCCTTTAAGTGCAGTGTTTACAACTGTATGCAGTATGCCAGCTGTGGCCTAACTACTGATTTATACAGTTCTTGCTCAATCTCCCTGCTCTTACACTCCAAGTCTTGGCCAATAAAGCATCTTCAATATCTTTTTGGCTGCAATATCTTCCTGTCCTAACTTTGGGGACCTGTATTCACACAGTCAATGATCTCTCTGTATCTCTACACCTCTCAAAATTAAACCATGTATTGTGGATACCCCTAATTTGGTTGTCTTCCCCAAATGCATTATCTCAAACTTTTCTGGATATAATTCCATTTGCCAGTTTTTTTGTCCACCTGACCATCCATGGAGAACTCCCTACATCTACAGCTTTTTTCTTCAATATCAACCAGGCAGTCAATTTTCATATCTTCAAAATTAAGTCCCCTACATGGAAGTTTAAACCACAGTTGCACACAATAACCATCTACAAACCCAGTACTAAGTGCTGTGGAGTCCTGGAAGCAGGTTTCCAGTCACAAAAGAACCCATCAACTGTAAACTATAATCTTTGACTACTGCCACTGAGCCAATTTTGGATCCAATGTAATTACCTTCCAAAAAAAGAAAATGGTCAGAGCTGAAAGTATCAATGTCCTATGACTTTTTTGAATTTGGACTTTGGCTAATCAATCTTTAAAGTAAGTGTTATACAGTAGAGATGGAGGCCATTTAGCCCACAGAGTCTATCCTGTGTCATTACAGAGCAGTCCTACAAGAATCATTCCTCCATGCTCTCTCCACAGCCCTCTATGTTTATTACCCTGAAGTATCCATCCAATTTTCTTTTGAAATCATTCACCATCTTCCATTCAACCAACCTTGCTAGCAGAGATCCACTCACTGCACAAGTTTTTTTAACAATTCCCCTGAATCTCGTCAAAAACCATAAATCTGTATGCTCTACTCCTTGCACCATCAACTAATGAGAATACCTTGTGATCTTATAATCATAAGATTATGACATAGTCTATGTCATAATTTTATCTAAGCCTGTCATAATCTTGCATACGTATGTTAAACCGACAACTCAATTTATTTTATTCCAAGGAGAACAACCTGAGCATCAAGCAAAAGCTTAACAAGTGGGAAAGGACATGATGGTATGGATGACAGACAATTTACAACACAGGAAACACATCTGTCAGTAACTGTCAAAATTCTTTCATAGCCCCGTTCTCTGCACAAAGTCCTGTATTTCAAGCATTACCCCAGTTACTTCTAAATTGAAGGTTTTCTGAAACAATCAATTCCTAAACCAAAGCATTCAGTGTTTTAGGAACACTAAACTTTAAAGAAATTTCCCAGAATCTCTTTCAGTAAAAGTTTTGAATTGATGGCTCGTCAAAAACCCCATTCAAACAAGAAAACAAATCTTTGACAAAATATGCTTTTTTTCAGCAATATCAAGTAAGAAGAAACAAAGGTTATGAGAGATTTAAAAACAAGGATTCCTCAGTGGAAACTGTAACAGTTGGGGAAGAGGTGGGACTGTAGAAGGAAGAGATTTAGTTATTGTTTAGGAGCCTACAAAGCCCACTGTTTATAACGCTGCAGGAGCCAAACTTGTCAATAAGGTTGTCAATAAGGCCATGTCCATAATTTGAAATGAGGATTTAAAACTGTCTCACAACTGCTCACTCACTCAGAGTTCAATGACAGTCATTAGTGCCTCAGGCCTTGGAAACCCACAGGTTAGTCTCATGACCATCACTTTGGAACACCCTAAAGTAAAGAGCAATACATGGAAATGATCAGAAATTGCCTCATTACTAACAGTTACAACGGGAGGAAAACTGCTGTTGATATCCTGGTGCTGACATGATTGACTTCTTTAACCACAATCATCTTGAGGTTCTGTTTAATAGCAACCCGTGGAGAGTTCTCTCTCCCCCCAGCCTCCCACCTCTCCAACACTAACCCCAAACTGATTCCTGTTAATTTCAATTTTGCTGACATTCCTTGAGACTGCGCTTGGTCAGATGGTCTTTTGTTCACTTTGAACCAAGATTCTATTAAAGTCAGAGTTAATTGGCCCTGCTGAAACCCAAAATGAACATTAGTGAGCAAGATATTGCTATGAAAGTGCAAATATATAGCACGTCATCAATATCTTCCATCACTTTGCTCATAATCAAGAAAACACTGACATAGCAGAAATTGGCTGGATTGAATTTGTCCTGCTTTCGTAGACAGTATATTCTCTGCAATTTTTTTCATTGTTAGGTAGATGTCAATGTTTTAGCTGTGGTGGAACAGAGGCATGTCTAGTTCTGGAACATAAATCTTCAACATTACTATCAGGACACTGTCAGAGCCTGGACACCTTTGCTGTATCCAGTGCTTTCAGCTATTTCCTGATATCATGTGGTGAATCAAATTTGTTGAAATCATCTGTGATGTTGAGGACCTCAGGAGGAGGCAAAATGGACTGTCCACTCAATACTTCTAGATTATCATTCATCATTGAGTATGGGCTATGTAGAGAACTTCCTTCTCCAATCACTTGTTGAATTGTGCATCACCATTAACAATTGGATATGGCAGAACTGCCAAATTTTGATCTGATCTTTTGGTTGTGGGATCATTTACTTCTGTCAATAGCATGCTGCTTACATATTCTAGCATAATTATAGTCTTATGTTCAACAACACCCTTGTCTGAAGTATTATAACAAAGGTGTTTTTATAAGGAAATCTAAATCTATAGGTTCTATAGTTTGAGTTTCCATCTTGGAAACTGCTTCTTCACAAAAGCAACTTTTATCTGCATTGTCTCCTGTATCATCAAATTCTACAATATCAACAGCTTTAATTTATATCGTACTTTCAAAAGAAAAAAACAAATGACCCAAGGGACGTGGTTCCATTTATATATGCCCAACAAAGTAATCTAGACTGACAGCATCTGTTCAAATTTATAGCATGCACTGCAACGTTGCCACCACATCTTATTTCATTAAGATCACCCTGGCTGACAGGCTATCATACACTGTAATGTAAAATCTTTCAATACAGGTTTGGACTGGCTAAAGCATTAACACTGAATTTAAACAAAAACACACAATAGATGTAGATAATTTGTATCAAGGTGCTTATAGAATACATGAAGGGATCCATTTCCCTTCCAATCTTTACAATGTAGTTGCTCACTGTTTTCTTCAATATTTGTTTGCACAGATTAACTGAGCCGAATTCTTTTCTTCCACTTATCTCTAGCTACAATTTCCTACTTACCTTTCAATTAGCTGCTTGCCCAATACAATTTTCGTTCCTTCCACTTTGATAAGTTCTTCATTGTCATTAGGTATAACAGTCTTTTCAAGCTCCTCTTCTTGCTCCTCTGTCATTGCAACTGGGTTACTTGGTGGTGCATTCGTTTGGTAATACAGAGGACAAAACTTATTGGTCCTCATGTGGCCAATGGCACCACAGGCACCACATTTTAGCTGTAAATACAGAAAAGAAACTGTCCCAGAACATCCAGTTACAAGACTTTTTTAAAACTACATTGTCTAGCTAAGGACAAACCACTTACTACAGATTGACAATAAAACAAAAATTCCTAGATAAACAGGAGCACATCCCGATAGCTATTTCATTCTCTCTGCTGGCAACAGAAAAATGGAATACTCTTTAGAAAAAAAAAGTCTGGGAAGGGGTCAAGAAAGGCAATGAGGATGACACTGAGCCTTAAGAAAATAGAAACACAAATAATTTCAATATGGAGGGCTTTTCAAGTCATCTCAGTGCCCTTACTCCTGCAATCTTTGGAAATTATATCAATTTACAAGAATTGCTCAGGCCATTTTTACAAGTCCTTCCACTTTGATGTAAAGGCAATTTTTCCTCAAAGTAAACAAGTCTAATAGTTCATCTGAATCTAGCCTTCATCTGGTCAATCTGATGAATTAGGTCATATCATTAAGTAGCTACTTCTTTTATCAGGGAGAATAAAGTTATGTACAAAACAACAAGAATGAAATGAATCATAATTCATTAGGTTTAAAAGCTACAAATAAACTGGTTTCAGCCCTAGAGATAACAAGGTGTAGAGCTGGATGAACACAGCAGGCCAAGCAGCATCAGAGGAGCAGGAAGGCTGACGTTTCGGGCCTAGACCTTTCTTCAGAAAATGCCCTTTCTGCCCGCTCAAAATCAATGCTTGTTCAGGTGGATTACCTTTAGGTCGGGCCTTTCTTTGACCTTTTTGGGTTTTTTCTCTGGCGGTCCTTTCAATTTTTCCTTCTCCTGATTCCGTTTGAGTCGCCGAAGTTGTTCCTGAATTCTGCGTCGTTCTCTTCGCATTTCCTCACGATGTTGCTCATCAAATAGAGCAAATTTGCGGCTAAGGAAGATAAAAGAATGAGTCATATAAGAATTAAAACTTTTTTCATATAGACTTCTGCTTTTCGTGATCTTTACTCAATATCTGTTCAATTATAATTTGATACATCTATGATTATTCCATCTAAGTAAAGGTAAGGTCATTATAGTCTTACCAGACCATTTGGCTGCTCTCTCATTAGAGAGAGACGACTGGCAATTGTGGGTTAACTACATCTCAGGCAAGGGAAGAGGTTGAGAAGGAGAATCCTTCAAGGAACCTCTATGTAATAATGAATACAGTTATACATCTTTTGAAGACTGCCCCAGTGGAAAGCTGTCTATTCCTTACAGCCCATATTCACCTGAACTGAATTTTGTCTACCATGGATTTACTCAATAGCAGATTCTGCCCAACCTTTTTTGTCAGACCCTGGCTGACTTATTTGCTTCAAAAGTATCCTGTAAATATAAAATCAAAAATCTCTATTATTTGCATCTTTTTCATGTTAACAACAATGACTTGCATTTATATAGCAACTTTAACAGAGTAAACTTACCTAAGGTATTTCACAAGGGTGTAATTAGATAAAATTGGCAGAGATGAAGGAGGCACATTCGAACAAAGTCTGGTTAATGTTGTAGGCTTTCAGGAAGACTTTAAAAGGAGGAGAAAGTACAAACTGAGGCCTTATATTTATGGAGATAGTAAGAACTGCCGATGCTGGAGAATCTGAGATAACAAAGTATAGAGCTGGATGAACACAGCAGGCCAAGCAGCATCAGAGGAGCAGGAAAGCTGACGTTTCGGGTCGAGACCCT